AAACATGCATAGTTAAGAAAAAAAAATTCCCAAATTGGCAATTACCCAAAAATGTATGTCTCATTTGGCACCTTGATTCCATCACATTTCTGGTGGGAGGTAGGTACCATGCTCCATCCATTTCTGTGTACCTTAATAGTCTTAGAGAACTTCTTGGGGCATGAAGAGGTTATGTCTAAGTATCACAGCTAGTATATGTTGGAAGCACAATTTAAACCCAGGACTTCCTGCTCTCAAGGCTGGACCTCTATCTACTGAGCCACGCAACCATAAAATGTACTCTTTTTAAAGGATGATTAAAAAGGCGTGTTTTTTATGGAGTGTGCATTTTTTGCATGTGTATGGACATAAATAGTTTGTCCCTTTGAATTATGATGTACATATGCCAAGTATCCTACATGAAGCCCTGATGTTTCCAAATATCTTCTGACTCTGTACCCAGCTGATGAAAGAGATGAGACCAAAAGACAATATAATTCTGAGCTAGGCAGACAGAATAACAAACAGAAAACCAAGGGCAGGTTTTCCTTGGGCTCGCTCTGGCTTATGGGAGTGACCTTTTACTGTTTTTCTTGGACTATTTTACCCTGGTATTTTCAGAAATAGCACAGTTGTTTGGGGGAGATTATAGGGCAATAGACACTTCCCAGACACAGGATTGTGTTTAACCTCCTGACCTGTGTTTCATCCAGGCACAGCTTGGCTAGTTGTTTCTTAGGACTGATGTTGCATCAGGAGAGGAGGCCATCAGGAAAATTGTGCCTGAGGACGAAGAGGGAGTAGAATGGCTTCTGAAGGCAAACATGGATAGTCAGATGATAATGAAAAAGGACTGCAAGGCTGCTGTGTTAAGCCTATTCAAACACATGAGCAATGGGTTCATCAGGAAGGCAAGTTTTATAAGACAGGTTGGTTTGAGTCTTAGGGACCACCACAGTCTTGGTTCAGCTTCCCACTTAAAAATATTGAAAACTCCTTGGGGCAAGTTTTGTCTCCAAAGATAGATATTTTGAATTTGAACTGAGGGGACTTCACCTGAAATTTTAGAGCTTCCCATACAGACTTTTCTTCTAATCCAGATCCTCAACCACAATTTAGCTTTATTGTCCATATTTCAAGCCTTGTTTACATAACTCCTGAAAGTGCCCAGGCTGGTATCATCATAGTCTTTTAGACATGGGAGGATCCTATCATCACAGATTTGAAGTATCTAGTCCAGACCCAGCTTTCCAGTTTTACAGATGTGGAAAATGAGGCCACAAAAGGGCAAATTACTTGCCCAGGGTCACACAGACTTGTGACAGAGCTGGGACAAGAACCAAACCCTATTAATTACTTGCCCTCACTTACTCTTTCTACTGAGACCTGGAAAAGACCTTAATTCAGAAAGGCCAAGGTCACCCACTTTATCCTGGGCCATCTCCAGTCATCTTGACCTTTGTCTTGTCACTGAACATTAATGGCTCTGGAGGAAAGAGTGAGCTCAGCTGATGACTTTACACAGCTCTGCCCCATTCATGTCCAATTCATATACAAGTCAAGACATCATCCTTGCGATGTCATTGGTCCTCTTTAAGAATGAAGAATGAACAACTACCACCCCAGGGCTCACAGAATTATAGAATCACAGAAATTGAGAGTTGGAGGGGACTTCAGTGTCCATCTAATCCAATCTATTCATGAAAGGAATCCCCACTGTAATATACCCAACACCCGGTCATCTAGCCAAAGTTAGAAGATCTCCAAGGATGGAGAACCCACCACCAGTGGAATGGCAGCCCATTCCACTTTTGGAGAGCTCTCATTTACAGCAAGTTTCCCTGAGATCAAGAATAAATTGGTCTCTTTATTATTTTCACTCATTACTCTTAGTTCTGCCCTCTAGGACCAAAGAGAACAAGTCTAATCCCTTAAGACAGCCCTTCAAATATTTGAGACAACTGTCATGTCCCTCCCACCCCGACCCCTCCCCAAATCATTTCTTCTCTAGGAAAAACATCTCCTGACCTCATATATAACTGACCAATCCTTATAAATATCCTCATATATCACTGACTCAAAGAATCATATGCTTCCTATATGTTATACATTGGGGAGGTTATGGCATTGAGAATTTAAATGATGAAAGGTCAGATGAAGAACATTAACAAATAAGGAAGATAGAGACAGTGTGATATAGTGGCTAAAGCGAGATTAAAGAGACCTAGGTTCAAATCTAGCTCCTGTCATACACAACCAATGTGATCCTGGGCAAGTCCCCTAACTTCTCAGTTTCCTCAGCAGATCTCTAAGATAATTTGCTAAGCAGGTGCTGCCAATACGTATTAGTAAAGACATCTTCCTCACTGGGAATTCTTTTTTTCTTTTCTTTCTTTCTTTCTTTCTTTCTTTTTTTTTTTTTTAGCTCACTGGGAGTTCTAATGAAATTACCTAACTTATTCTCCCCTCATTTTTCTTCTCTTCCCCACCCCCATTAAATAAAAATAAAAATAAAGAAATAAAAGATGACAAGGAGAAAGCAATAAGTCATTAATCAGAAGGAACATGGAAGCATCCACATTAGTTTTTCAGTTTGGCAAAGATTTAAAAGATATCTTTTAACTTGTCCCTAAATACAGAAACATCAGCAAAGAGATAACAAGATTGCTGTCACTTTCTTTACTTTCATTGCATCAGATATACCATCAAGCACACAACAGAGATGTAGAACTGGAAGCCTTGTAACCTCTGTAACTCAAAAATCGATGCACCATGTTTCTGGGCAGTTGCTGATGGATACAAGAAAACAATCTTTTGTACTCAGCCTGTTTTGCAAGCTACTCAGATGGGCTAAAGAGCTATGATTATGGCAAGAGCTACAGTGTTTAATCCCAGCTGGTACAGACTCAAAAGAGAAGCTAGCTTGTGTTTGAGGAGACAGTGTGCTCATAGAGGTTCCTACAGGCAGCCGTTACTAATCCTCCATGTAAGGTCGATAGGCTTTTAGGATGAGAAAGGACTTCAGCAACTACCTAGCATCTATCATTTTACAAATGGGGAAACAGTCCCAGAGACAAAAAGTGACTTGTGGAAAGTCATAAAATAAGTTGATGACAGGTGCTACTTTTTGTATCCTGGTTTACTTTCATTTTAAGAAGTTACAGTCATAGAATGATAGAGTTTTAGGTTTGAACACTATCTCAGATTTCATCTAATTCAACTTGTAGCTAAACTAGAACTTCCATTACAGTATCCTCAACAAATAGGTATCTAGTCTCCGCCTAAAGACTTCTTTAAAAATACTTTATTTTCCCCCAATTACATGTAAAAACAATTTTTAACATTAGTTTTTTTAATAAGTTTTGAGTTCCAAATTCTATCACTCCCTCCTTCCCCTCCACCCTCCCTGAGATAGTAAGCAATCTGATATAGGATATACACATGCAATGTAAAACACTTCCATATTAGTCATTTTGTGGAAAAAAATCTCAAACAAAAAAAAAGGAAGAAAGAAAGAAAGTGAAAAATAGTATGCTTCAGTCTATTTCTGAAGATTTCTAATGAGGGGGAATTCACTATCTTCCAAAGCAGTCTGTCTCACTGTGGGCAATACTAAACAACTTTTTTTTTAATGTGTCCCCATTGGTGATTTCTCAGGGCCAAGAATATAGAAGTCAGGTTGTTTCTACAAACACTCATGCAATTTTTTTTATTATAGGGGCTGCTTTATACTGTAAATGTACTGTGGTTTGCCCATGGGTTATTTGAGGTTCCTGCCCTATAGATGATCGATCCAAATCTATGGATAAGATCTGTTTTTACAATAGACTTCCACGGGTGATCCTAAGGAAGTCATAAACATCTTACCATGGATTACTTTTTCAGGCTAGCACAGGAAGACCCCTGGGATGGGCAAGTTTTCATGGGACTATAACAAAGGGAAAGGTATAGAATGTGATGTATAGTAAAAACAATTCCAATTACAACACCACAATGGTACCATAATTAGCCAAAGGAAAGTAAACGGTACTTGGTGGTTATAGAAAGTGATGAGAAGGGGGTCCTGAATGTCAATTTTGTCTAACTCATAGTGTTGTTATTTAGGACTACAGGTTTAAATTATTGAACTAATGAGGCAGTGGGTTAGAACTATAGATAAACCTGTTAGCTGTGCTGTGCTTATGACCATAGATTTTACTTAACCTAAACTTCAACTGCCTGCCTCTCAAATGTGTCATTAGTCATTGTAAAATACTGTGTACTTTGCAGTGGAAAGAATGCTGAACTTGGAGTCACAGGACCCGAGTTAAAATGCTGGCTCTCATACTTACTGCCTGTGTTACCTTGGACAAGATATTTCTCCTCTCTGGGTTAGTTTCTTCATCTGTAAAATGAGAGGGTTGAATTAAACACCTTTTAAGGTCACTTCCAGCTTTATATCTATGATTATATGACCCATACAAACCTATCATTTCTAATGGGGAAAACAACTCAGAGCATGTCCTATTGATGGTGAGTTAGCAGCAGCATCTGTATCTGTTGTGGAGATCAAGCAATCATTCTCACTAAAGGATGGAGATAGACCAACTCAGTCATTTTGGCAGGGGAGGATTTGTGAAGGAGAACTAAGGATTGAGGAAGGAAAGGGGAAAAGCTGATGGATTTTTTAATCATAGGATCATAAATTTAAAACTGAAAGGAATTTTAGAAGTCATCAAGGCCAACCTTTTCATTTTACAGATGAGGAAACCGATTTGCCTAGAGTCACATAGCTGGTAAGTATCTAAGGCTAGATTCAAACTCAGGTCTCCCTGATTTTGGGTATGATGCTTTATCTACTGCACCACCTCTCTGCTTCTGGTAGGCAAGATAGCAAACAAAAGAGCTGATATTTGAACCCAGGTCCCCTGACTCCAAATTCAGAATTTTTCTCTATATCACCACTTCTGTCATTCAGAATCACTCTGGACAGAACTCTTGAGAACACTTGCTGAATTAGAGTTGTGATTTTCTCTCCACAGAAAAAGCGAACTTTGAAGGGTTCCATTGAACTTTCCAGAATCAAATGTGTGGAGATTGTGAAGAGTGACATCAGCATACCTTGCCACTATAAATACCCCTTCCAGGTAAGTCAACTAAGCCATATGGTGGTCAGCCTCTAATTCCTAGTGCCACAGCGACTAGTCTTGGTCATGAGAGGATGCAGGCAGGTGGATATTGACTTTAGTTTTTTTTGTTGTTTCTTTTATTTGTTTGTTTGTTTTTGTTGGGTTTGGGTTTTTTTGTTGTTATTGTTTAGTCGTTTTTTAGTTGTGTCTGACTCCATGACCCCATTTGGGGTTTCCTTGGTAAAGATATTGGAATAGTTTGTCATTTCCTTCTCTAGCTCATTTTACAAATGAAGAAACTCAGGCAAAGAGGGTTCACTGCTAATAAATGTCCGAGGCCAGATTTGAACTCAGAAAGATGAATCTTCCTGACTCCAGGCCCAGTACTCTATCCACTGTGCCACCTAGACTCTGGAATACTGGTTCACAATTTAGAAAGGGCCCCTAAGATGTCTGTGTTTTCTTTTTCACTGATAGATCACAAGTAGAGGTGTCAGTTTCAATTTCAGAAGTCATGAGCAAAATGTGGTTAAGGGTGCTGTCCCCACAACTTTCAGCCTATCACCCCTAGGAATTTCTTTACAATTCTATAGAAAGGGGTCCCTCCTTCAATGGGGCCCCAAGTTCAACAGTGGCAAATCAGGTGGTCCCTCTCCAATGACTTTGAGATAGACATTAACTGAAGGTAGAAAGGAAAAGTAAAAACAGACGCTGACCTTAAGGAGCCTGCATTCTTAAAGATTATATAAGAAACTGGAAAGGAAAGATTATAGAAGAAACTGTGAGCTTCTATTATTTAGTCTTTTTTTAAAAGAAATATGCACACTAAGTTTAATAAGACTAACAAAATCACTCTATTTTAGTCTCCATCTGCTCCTCCTTTTTCTTCTGTTCTTTAAAAAAAGGGTTTTATTGATGTTCCTTTTTCCTCCTATCTCTCCCTGTACACAATTCTTCCTTCCCTGCCCCCAGTAGAAGCCTTCTCTTCTAGCCTTGTCTGAGAATGCACGCCTGGTTCTCTACTTCTAGTCTGGCACCTCTTTGCATAGAGGTGGGAAGTATATTTCATCATGAATTTTTTGAAGTTGGGATTAATTCCTTGTTTCCTTCAGAGCTCAGCTCAAATATCAGGTACTTACATGAGGCCTCTCCAGATCCCCTTACCTGCTACCCATCTTCCCCCATTCCTTTGTACTTCTCTTATATGTATTTTATTCACATTTCTGTGTACTTAGAAGTGTACTATCGTCTCTCAGAAGGGCAGCTAGGTAGTACACCTGAGGTCACATCTGGCCTCAGACATTTACTGGCTATGTGACCCTGGGCATGCCACTTAACCCTCTTTGCTTCAGTTTCCTCTGCATAAAATAAGCTGGAGAAGAAAATGGTAAATCACTCCAATATCTTCGCCAAGAAAACCCCAAATGGGATCACAAAGAGAAAATGTTAATAATGGAGATTAAACTTAAAAGTGTGTTGTGTGGAAAGCCAGTTGTTAAACATGACAAACCCAACTGTGCCAAAGCCTTTCTTTGCTTCTCCAAGTTGTACTCGTGAGCCATCTTTCCATTCAGCTGCACCTTCCATCTTTTGTTTTCAGCAAGGACGTCAAGATCGATGTGGTTCAGTTCCTAAAATGAGGCAATCATGGGCAAATAGGTGGGCAATAAATATGATAATTCTATAAAAAAGCATGATTCAGGATAAAGGGATGAGAGAGGCCAAAAACTTGTAGATTATACATGAGCAATTTCTTCAAGACCAGAATTGGTAAGCTCTGGACCTTGTCAAGCAACAAATACCATCATAAAATGAAATTGGTTATATCTTAACATAGAAGAAAAGGCCTTTAAAAATCAATGTGGGAATTATACCAGAGTAATTATACCAGAGTAAGTATACAGTCAGTCCACTGATGTGTCAAGGAAAAGACCATATTTTTCCAAAGTAAGAGGAAAAACAATCATAATGAGAAAAAGATAAGGAGTACAGAAACAACTCAGTCCTGAACTACTTAAACAAGCAATTAGCAATAAAAAGAGGAGTGTGGTACAGTGAGGGAAGAGATAACTGACCTCAGTTTCAGGAAGACCTAGAGTTCAACTCCTGACTCTGACACATGTTGGCCGCAGGACCCTGAGCAAGACACAACCTCTCAGCATCCCAGGCAACTCTCTAAAACTATCCTTCACAGAGATAATGATCATCTACATCGGTTGAAGGAATTTCTTCAATGAGAGTATCCTGGGTCCGTGAAATCCTGGTCTTATCTTAGCTATGGGAAATGGATGTCGGAAACAACATTGACACAGTTTTACATTATAAATCACATTGACACAGTTTTTATACAGAAATTTAAATGCTTTAAATCGATTGCCACAACAAAGAGACAAAAAGAGCCCAGAAAGAGCCATAGTCAGCAACATTTGACTTACTTCTTGAGCAGAGAGATGGTAGCTAAAGGCAATACTGGTTTACAATATAGATTCATTTGTAAAATTTCATGAAGAATGATAGTGTTGATTATGAGCAGTATTTTTTTCATAAAGTAGCATCTTTCCTAAGAGTAGAAAATAAGACCAGTTTAAAGAAGGCTTGGCAAAAGATTCAACTAAGCAAAGTCATACCAAGGTGAATTAAAAACAAAAATGGTAGAATAAGAAGTAGAAGAAATGGAAAGCATCTGTAGTAATTACCAAAATAAATTTTTGCCCCTAGTAAGGATAGTGGAACCACTGCATTTGGACTCTAATATCACAGTCTCAAATGTGCTTATAGGAGAGATAGAAATGGCAATAAAGAGAAGAAAAACTAGGAAAGCAGTAGATTATATATATTTTATATGATATGTATATATACAATAAATAATATCATATATACATATATGTATATGTATCCTAGAGGACACAATTGTGAGAGTTTTGAGAGATTGATATGCAAAGAATCTGAAGGAGAGGAAGATAACAAAGACATAGTAGGAAAAAAAACCTCAAACCTTATTACTAAAAAATAGACAGCTGAGAAAACATGAACAAATAGTGATCTATATGCTTACCCCCCAACCTATACAAAATCTTTATGAAAGTCATCTGTATATGAATCAATGACACCCTAGATGAGGGTAGTAGTAGGGGGTCATAGGGCTTTCACAAGGAATATTCAACAATGAATGACATCCTTATCATTTAGCAATTGACTGAAAGATATAAAGAAGATAAGATCCTATTTTGTTTATCATTTTTTGATTATAAAAAAACATTTGAATTGGCAGAGCAAAATATTGCCTCAAAGGCTCTTTCCCAATGTTGTAGTTCCCATCCAGATATAAAAATCATTCCCTGAGAGACAGAAATCACAACAGAAATGATTTTGTTTGACAACTCTCTGATCATAAACATCAGGCAAGGCCTATACCAGGGAGAAGTACGCTTGTGCAAAGTCTACCCTTTGCTACTCTGATAAGAGAGATCTAGCATGGAGTACAAGTCACAGAGGGTTTCTCTATGGATGGTGAGATCCTACAGGTATTCTTGTTATGGATGGCACTGTACTTCTTACATCAAACCTAGGGTCGGTGCAGAACTTCCTAGAAGAGATGTGTAACCACTCAAAAAATTTGGCTTGACCATCCCTACAGGAAAGACCTGGAAGATGAAGAGTATCTATTGCCCAAATCATGGCATAAATTTGGAAGGAAAACCCTTAGAACTTGTTTATCACTTTGTATATCCGGGAAGAGAGAATACTGATAGACAACAAAGTAGGTTCAAAGTTGAACAAAAGGAAGAGATGAGGTTGGATTTCCTTTGAGAAATTACAGAACTCCTCTAATGACCCTAAGCTTCCCATGAAGCAAAAAAGCTTACTTTTTTCAAAAATTAATTTATTTTGAATTGTCAATCACTTTCATAAGCTTTTGAGTTTTAAATTTTTCCCCCTCCCTCCCACCTCCCTTCCCAAGACAGCATGCAATCTGATATACGCTATACATATACATTCCTATTAAACATATTTTCACATTAGTGATGTCGTAAGTAAGAATTAGAATAGGAGGAACCACCAGAAAGAGGAAACAAAATGCAACAGAAGAAAAAAATAGCAAATAGTATGAAAAGCTTACCTTTTTAATACTGACATTCTACTGGTGTTTCTTTATGGCAATAAGACCTGTAATACAACTGTCTCCGAAGAATTAAAATGCATATCACACAAAGGACAATGGAGAGGCACAGTGGGTTTGAGCAGGCTGTACCATATAACCAACAAAGAAGTAGGAAGAATAATAGGAGTAAAAGATGCCATCGTGGAAGAAAGGATGGGCTGGTCATGTGTCATGGGGGAAGGGCAGTTGGTAGATAGACAGAGAGATTCACTGGTGTTTTCATAATGTGAGATGAAGTCAGGAAGTCCCCCGGGTAGTCCTGGGTAGATCTCCTGTGGCACACTTATGAGCAGGCGTGGACAAAGGGTGAACAGAAGGGGAAAGCGTGGATGGGTTGCAATTTGCAACATTGAAGGGAACTCCTAAACTGATGAGATCACAGATCATTTGAGTATCTCCAACACCTAACACAATGCCTGGCACTTATTACTGCTTAATAAATGCTTGCTGATTGATTGATTGATTGCTTTGGTATGACTCGATGAGAGTCATGTAGTTGGAAAGGTAGATAATTATACTCTTATTGGAGGGTCTCCCAAACCGAAACTTTGAACATTCATTACAAGCCTGGCATGGGGAGAGAATCTCTCTCCTATGGAAAAAGGCCCTTATGTTATGACTTTTGTAGGAAAAAAAAATGAAAGACTTGAAATGAAAGAAATTACTTCAGTGCCTAGTGATTGAAAATCTGATTGTATATTTTCCATCTAATATCTTTATATCACATATGCCAGAAAGAGCAATCAAAAATTGTCACAGAATTGTAGCCTGAGAAATAAATGTGCTTTCTTAGTAAGAAGAAATTTGTCTCCTGATAGAGTCAAAATGCTATTTCCTGTAAGTCAAAGTTATTTTATAAGGACAATGACCTAATCTGCCTAACATTTGTTATTCAGTTGTGTGTCCAACTCTTTGTGACCCCCTTTTGGGGTTTTCTTGGAAAAGATACTGGAGTGGTTTGCCATTTCCTTCTCCAGCTCATTTTACAGATGAGTAAACTGAGGCAAACAGAGTTATACAACTTACTCAGGGTCACACAGCTAGGAAGTTTGTGAGACCAGATTTGAACTCAGGAAGACTCATCTTCCTGATGCCAAGCCCAGTGCTTTATTGGATCATCTAGCTGCCCACCTAATGTTTACTCTTAGACTAAATTAACCAACCACCAAAATATCTGCATTACTTTAATCATTTGGAGCAGCTGTCATGTTAAGAGTGCTTGGTAACTCTATAGTATTTTAAAGTTTGCTGAGCATTTTTACATACATTATCTCATTTGAGCTTCACAATAACCCTGTGAGATAGCTCTACTGCTCTGATTACCTCAGTTATACAGATAAGAAAATAAGGAAAGTTATAGAAGTCAAGTGCTTTTCCCACAGTCATATAGCTTATCGGTATCAGAGGCAGATTTGAAGCCAGGCCTGCCTGACTCCAACTCCAGCAAACTAGTCCCTATAAGATGATGCCTCAAGATTCAAATGTTTTATCTATTCAGTGCAAAACTGATACAGTAGCAGTTCTCAAAGTGTGGTCTGAGATCCCTGGGGTCCTGAGTCCTTTACAGGGAGCCTACAAAGTCAAAACTATTTTCACAATAATACTAAGAAGTTTTAATTTCTAATACAGTAAATATTTGATAGGTATAACCCACATAAACAAAAGCTGTTTGACATCTTCAATAATTTTTTAAGAATATAAAGGGATCCTGAGACCAAAAAGTTTAAGCCACAGATCTGAAGAACCAGCCAAAATTCCATAAAGCAAAATAGCATCTTGTTGTCAGCCAACAGGTTTGTGTTGCATTTACTAATTCTGTTGCATGTCTCCCACTCCAGGTGGTACATGATAATTATCTTCTATATGTATTCGCTCCTGATCGAGAGAGCCGACAGAGATGGGTGTTGGCCCTTAAAGAAGGTAACCAGACTTTTGCCTATGATTAAAACAATGAATAGCAGTGACAAAAAATTCATGAAAGCTCTGTGATTTTTTTTCCAATGAGGGAAACTTCATTTACCAACCAGATTGAAGCAAATCTATAATTTCATAGAATAATCTTAGAGATTGGCCAGCAGTCACACAGCTAGTGTCAGATGTAGAACTCCAAGAACCAGGTGTTCTTGACATCAACTCCAGCCCTCTAGCTGCTAGGTTTCACTGCCTCTCTAATAAACCAATTTTGTTGTTATCTAGTGTTTCAATTGTGTCCAACTCTTCGTGACCCCACTTGGAGTTTTCTTAGCAAAGGTACTGGAATGGTTTGCCATTTCCTACCCCACCTCATTTTACAGATGAGGAAACTGAGACAAACAGGGTTAAGTGACTTGCCCAAATTCACACAGCTAGAAGTGTCTGAAGCTGGATTTGAACTCGTTAAGATGAGTCTTCCTGTGTCCTGCCCCAGCACTCTATCCACTGCACCACCTAGCTGCCAATAAACCAATAAATAGTTTGTTTTAATTTAAATAAGACCCTACCATTAATAATGTGCTTTCTTGCCTAAGATTACCATGTTCAACCACAACTTATTACACTGAGAAGTTTTACTAGAGAAGAGCATATAATTTTCAGGAAGCACCTGAGCAGTGTTCTTTGGTTTTGGTTTTTAAGAAAAATCTCTTTTACTTCTACTTCTATCTTACTCTCTTTGAGTTCTGTTTACTCTACAAGATCTACAGTTAATCATTTAGAATTGGGTACCCTCAGACTACCTGTAGGTACATTTATTAAGTTCTATTCTGGATGTGTGCTAAATGGAATCAATGCTATTTCTGCCTATTAGAAGCTGCCAATCTGAATTAGATTCACAAAATGTTACAAGTGTAAAGGACCTTAGAAGTCATCTGCCCCCTCATTTCACCAATGAGGAGACTGAAGCCCAGAGAGCTAAGGTGATTTTCCCAATCTTACCCAAAGGTAGTCCCAGAGCCAAGACTAGATACCAGCTCTCCTAACGTTGTGCTCTTTCCACTGTGACACACTCCTTAAACAACATTGGCACAAATTGAGATCACTGATTGTTCTGCTATTGCCCTCAATATAGGGATCATAGAATCACAGATTGAGAGGAGGAAGGGAACTTTGAGGCCATCTTGTCCCCTCCCCCATTTACAGAGAAAACCGGGGTCTAGAGATGTAAAATCACTTACTAGGTCGCACAAATAGTAAGTGGTTCTATACTCAGGTCCTCTGACATCAAATCCAGCATCCTTTCTGTTGTACTACTTGTTACCCATGAGAATTTTTCTTGGTTATTCTGAGTGATATTCAGTGTCATGGTTCATAAGATTTATAATTAGAAGGAACTTTAGAGATCATCTAGTCCGTAAGGATCTAATTCAATGCAAGTAGGACACATGCCTCCGAAAAACTACCAAGTGTGAATGTAATTGAGAGTGTTTAACAAAATACAACATAGATAATGTTAATTTGTGGTTTTCTAATTCAATATTGGGGCAGTTGGATGGTGCAGTAGATAAGTCTTCCTGGCTCTAGGCCCGGTGCTCTATCTTCCCGAGTTCAAATCTGGCCTTAGATACTTACTAGCTATATGACCCTGAGCAAGTCACTTAACCCAGTTTTCTCATCTTTAAATGAGTGAAATGAAGGAAACGGCAAACCACTCCAATATCTACACCAAGAAAACCCCAAATGGGGTCACAAAGATTTGGACTCAACTGAAAAACAACTGAACAACAAAAAACCAGTATCAGCCTAAAGCAATCCATTTCTATTTGAGTTTGATTATCACTCCTCCTTCCTTTCATTTTACAAGTAAGGAAACTGAGGCCCATAGAGGTTAAGACTTTCTGAGATGACAAAAGTAATAAATAGCTGATCCAGGATTTGGATCTAGGTCTTCTGATTCTAAGTTCAACATTCTTGTCTTCCAACAATGAGGTGAGGTAGGCAGTGTAATTATTATTTACATTTTACAAAGAAAATGACAATGAGAGAGATTTGGTGAAACATAGCAAGTGTCTGAGCTGGAAATGGAAATAGGCCTTTTGATTTCAAGTTTAACATTTTTTGCAGTAAAGCGAAGAGATTGTTATTGTTAACATTAGGGATTCAAGTTATTCCATTTGTCTTCAAAACAGCTCAGCTGCCTTTCCTTACCTAAATATTTATCAAACTCTTTCAGAAACCAAGAATAACAACAGTTTGGTGCCTAAGTACCACCCCAATTTCTGGATGGATGGGAGGTGGAGATGCTGCGCCCAGACTGAAAAGCTTGCATCTGGCTGTGCTGAGTATGATCCAACCAAGAATGGTAAGACCATGTTCCCCTTTTGAACCTCTTATACCATCATACATGTGGGGATGGTAAGCCCTCTGCCTTTCCAGTAGTACCAGCTAATTTCACACATTTATCCATCATCTTGGGGGTTCCCCATTGGCAATCTATATTTTCTCATGTGACAAATTTTGTTGAAGCCTTGAGGACTAGGAAGGGAGGAAAACCACCCATTTGAATGAACATAATGATACTTTAATGAGAAAATATGCAAATATTCTCATGTCCCACACTGATTACGCTTTCTTTCCAGGTCTATTTATGTATTTGTTACCTCCCCCCATTAAAGTGGGAGCTCCTTGAGGGCAGCAACTGTTTTTACTTTTTCATATCCACAGCAATTAGGCACAATTAGTGCCAGGCACATTATTATGTGCTTACTAGCACTTAATAAGTGCTTATTGATTGATTCCTTCCTCCTGCCACTTTCTCTTTTGCCCACTGTGAGCTTTATTCATAGTTGTTCTCAGCATGTGGGTTGGCAAAGTATGGGATGATTGCTGCCATCACTTGCCTGTTTCTTTACCATTTATGAGTTACCACAACCACCCACAATTTTGAGTATCTGCAATGCCACAGTTTTTTCCCCTGTTCAGCACTTGCAAGAGTGAGCACTGGACTTAATTCCACCTTCTCTCCCCTGGAACACCACAATAACAGAATATGCCAATGTGGCACACTGATTTCAAAATGTTGCTGACCCCAGTGTTAGTATCTGGTGCTCAGGGCACTGACAGGCCTCAAACCTGTCCATGAGTTAAGGGGATGTCTACCTCAAGCATCTAAAGACTTCCCCCAGCAGAATGGGTGGATGAGAACAATTTGTTCCAATGGCCATGAAAGCAGCTGAAGCAGAACTTAGCCAGACATCAAAGACTTCAAGGTCATCCACTGCATTCTGGGCCATAGACAGTCATCTTGACTTTTGTCCTGCCACTGGACTTTGATGACTCTGGAAGAAAGAATGAGGCTGAAAACTTTGTGCAACTCTGCCTCACTTCAATCCAATTGATGCACAAATTAAGACGTCACCCCTTGACGTCATTAATCCTCTTTGAAAACCTAAGGAAGAACAATACCTGAAGCTCATCTCCTGGTCTAAGAATGGGCTAATTTTTCTTTGTTGAGCTCATCTGGGTAACAGGGCTCTTTAGCAATGACCCACATCATAAGAAGGAAGTTAAATACAAGAAGACAGTGTCACCTCCACCCATGCATGTGGAGACTGATTGCATGACTTCAGGCAACTTACTTCAACTCTGAGCTTTAGTTGACTCATCTGTAAAATGAGGAAGTTGCCTTAGCTCATGGGTTACTAATCTGGAGTTCAGGGAGCTCTAAGGGGTTCATATATTCTGGGGGTCTGTGAAATTGGGTAGGAAAAAAGTCATCTGTTTATTTTCTAACCTCAGAATTTCCTTCAATTATGAATTAAAAAAAAAAAACCAACCTCACTATTATTTTGAAATGGAGTCCATAGCCCTCACCAGACTGCTGAAGTTGACCATGGCACAAAGAAGGTTAAGAACTCCTAACCTTTCAGCTCTAACACAATTAAACTCAAGAGCATTAGATTTTGACTTGGAGGACTGACCTAGGTTCAAATACCAGCTCTGCCACTTACTACCTATGTAACCCTGGGTAATTCATTCAATCTCTCTAGCCTTCTATTTCCTCATCTATAAAACAAAGACATCAAATTAGGTCCCTGCCAGCCAGAAATCTATGGTCCTATATACAAGTCAATGATCACCAATTCAACCAATCTTTTAAGTGGTGCAATTTCCACGAAGAGGAATACAAGCTTCCAGGAAGAGACAGTTGAAAGCCAAACTCGAGGTATTCTGCCCTCATCAGACTATGTTCAGGTCTCGTCATCGTGACTTAAGGAAGACATTGATAAGTTGGAGAATATCCAGAGAAGGGTTAGTAGGATGGTGAGAGGCCTTGAATTCCTGCCAGATGAGGATCAGTTGAAGAAACTGGAGGGTATTTAGCCTAGAGAAGACTGGGTTGGGGTGGGTGGAGGAGGAGAGAGAATGATAACTGCTTTTTAGTATTTTTAGTACAGAAGGATTAGATTTGTTCCGTTTAGCCTCAAAGGGCCCAACAAATAGCAATGGTCACTACGTTGCCAATTTAGATTCTATGTCAAGAAAAACTTCCTAATTGTCCAAGAGTGGAATGGGCTGCCTTGGAAGGTGGTGGGTTTCTCTTCCATAGAGGTCTGCATGCAGAGGCTGGACTAGTTGGGTATATCTCAAAGAGGATTCCTTTCGTATATGAGTTGGACTAGATGGCTGCTGAGATCTCTTCCAACTCTCAAATTCTGCCATGATTCTGGGATTCTGAACAACGTACCAGGTTCAGAGCCAAGGATGTAAAGACAAAAAGAGAGACTTCTTGTTCTCAAGGGACTAATGTTGTCCAAGGCCCCCAAAATCTTGTCTACAGATCAACTTAATCTAAGGCAATTTAAACTGGGAGAGAGAACAAACAAGAGGGGCATGGAGAAGGCAGCGAGTGAGCTAAGGATTCCTAGAGGAGATAAAAAGGAAATACACTCCAAGCATAGGGGGAAACACGTTGGAAGATGATGGAGAAGAGATGGCCAGTTTAATCGGAATATACAGTGTGTGTGTTTGTGTTTGTGTGTGTGTGTGTGTGTGTGTGTGTGTGTGTGTGTGAGAGAGAGAGAGAGAGAGAGAGAGAGAGAGAGAGAGAGAGAGAGAGAGAGAGAGAGAGAGAGAGAATCATTAAATGTCTAAAAAAGGAAGGCTGAAGCCAAAATATGGAAAACTGGAATTGCTGGACTGAGACAGTTTGTTCTAGAGATTTTATCCTAGAGACAAAAAAGGAGCTACTGAAGATTTTTGAGCAGGGAAGTTACATAGTCAGACCTAAGCCTTACAACAATAATTTTGGCAACTGTGTGGTGGGTGGATAGGAGAAGGAGAGTGGGAGAAACTGGAATCATGGAGACTAATTAAGAGACTATTATAATAATCTAGGTGACTGGTGATGAGGGTCCAAACCAAGGTAGAGGCCATATCAATAGAAAGAGGGAGGCAGATATTAGAGTTATTGTAGAGACTGAATCAACAAGACTTGGCAGTTAATTGGGATTAGATAGTGTTGGGGTAGGATGATGAAAAGGAAAGAGTTAAAAATGACTCAGAGTTTCTGAACTTGAGTGACTGGGAAGATGTTAACACCCTCACTAGAAATAGAAAAGTTTAAAGGAAGGGTGGGTTTAGGGGAAAATATAATAAATTATCTTTTGGACATGATGAATTTGAAGTGCCAGGTGGAGCTATCCAGCAGTCAGACATGCAGAAAAGGGATAAGGACAGCATGTATAGATTTGTAATTCGAGTGGAAAGAGATAATGATTGAAGCCATGAGAGTGGATAAGATCTCCAAGAGGGAGATAGTATAGAAAGAGAATAGAAGAAGGGGACACCCACACTTAGGGGACAGGAAGAAGAATGATGAGTAAGTAATGAGGTTGGAGGAGTGATCATACCAGATGAGAGCCTTGTTATGGAAGCCAAATGTATCTGGTTACTAAGGAGGGGGTGGACAATGGTATCAAAAGCTAGACAGGTCAAGTAAAAAGAGGATGGAGAAAAGGCCATCAGATTAGTAATTAAAAGGTAATTAATGACCTTGGAGAGAGCTCTTGAAGTAAAAGAGGGGAGTCAGAAACCAAATTGCAATGTTTTGAGAAGTACACAGTGGGTGAGGAAGTGGAGGCAGTGAATACAGAGATGTATCATTGGAGGGAACTTCCAAATCAATGTGATCACAGCTCCTTTTGAGTATTTGAGTATAAGAACTTCATAAATACTTACTGATTGACTGTCTAACCAGCCCTACCTCCTCTGATGAGAATCATACGTCTGGAGAGGTGGATAACTTGTTCACTAATGGAAGAATGTCCCAAATCAGACAATAAATATTCTATATGATCCAGTCATGGGGAAAGAAACACACTCCCCAATTCAATAATTTCCACACTAACCTTGGTGCAGGGCTGTACACTGTTCTTTCTTGTGAGGTAACTCATGAAATCCTCAACACCATGTGGCTGAACATGATGCCATCTCTGTTTCATGGTCAGAGAAGCTGAGTGTTGGTAACTGAAGGCAAGAAAACAAAGAAGCCGTCATGGTCTGGGCAAGAGGAAGACCTGAGTTCAAATATGGTCTCAGACACTTACCGGCCCTGGGCCAGTCATTTACCCCTGTTTGCCTCAGTTTCCTTATCTGTAAAATGAGCTGGAGAAGGAAATGGCAAACCACTCCAGTATCTCTGCCAAGAAAACCCCAAACAGGGTCATGAACAGTCAGATGACTGAAAACTACTGAACAAGGTCTACAAAGCTGGACTATTTCACTTGATCCCCCTAACAACCTTATGAGGTCAGTGCTATATCACTAGTGACAGAATAGCCAGTGGAAAGGGCCCTGGCTATGGAGTCAGATTCTCTCTGACAGTTACAACTTGTATGACATTGGGTAAGACATTTAACCTTCTTGGGCCTCAGTTTTCTCATTTACAAAATGAGAGGGTTAGAATAGATAGCCCTTTAGGTTCCTTCTACCTCTAGATCTATTATCCTCCGGTCCACCACTTTACACATGAGGAAACTGAGGCTCATATGCTTAAGTAGCTTGAGACACTTAAGTAAGTGTCTGAATCAGGATTTCACCTCAAAACTTCCTGACCCAAAATAATGCAAAGCAAGTCAATATTATTCAATAGCACCTATAAGCATCTGTGCTAAGGCAATGTTCTCCCTCAATCTTCTCTTCCCCATGTTGAACATCCCCAGGTCCTTCAGCTGATGACATGGCATGGCATGGTTTCAGGTCACCTCCCCCACCCCAGTCATTTTCCTCTAGAATGAGCCCGAGCATCATTAGACGCCAACAGCTCGGATAAAGAGGAGAAGTAAGGAGAAGTAATAAGGATGAAGAAAGAGGAAGAAAAAGATGGAAAGCTAATATGTGGATGCTTGGAAACCACAGCTTGTAGATCTGGTCCTAAAAACAAAAGCAACCCAGTAGCAACCCACCTTATCCACCCCCAGCTCAAGTCTGTTCAGAAATGATGTGCAGGAGGTGACAAGGAGCCAACAGTAATGTCAGGAAATCAGTGATTCACTAGTTCCCCTGAGTCACTAATTCCCACTTTTAGACCATAATTCTTCATCATTATATAATATAAAGAGCAAATTACCTATTCTGCTTTGTGAATTCGCACATGTCCACATGCTTCAGTCTTAAATGAATTGGAGTAAATCATTCATCTTCCCTGTTTCTTTTGCCTTAGGTTTCCCAAGGAATCTAGGGGTGGGGAAGCCAGAGTGCTGGCTTCAGGCAATGGCTAGCATCTCTTAGTCAGGTAAAGTGGGGTCAGCAGGAAGAAGAGGGCTAGACATGGTGAGCAGACATATGAGCAGAGGAGAGCTTTCAGACTGCTGAAAACATTGGTGGGCCCCAAAGTTGAGAGTAACTTAGCAGAGAGATTTTAGGTATTTGACTTTTTTTCCTCTATTATCCTTTTGTTCTCTATGATGCCCTTTTTCGGTGAAAAGCCCCCACATCTCTTGGGTGTTTGTCTCTGGGGTTTGCCCACCTTGCTTTTATGTTTATTTTGTTTTTCTGATTGTTCATTTCAGCTTCAAAGAAGCCTCTTCCTCCCACTCCCGAAGACAACCGGGTGAGTAAAACTTTAGGGTTCCTGCCATGGTTTGAGACTCGCCCCAAGGTTCAGGATGCATGTTTCCCCTCTATGTTTTCTTTCTCTACTCCTTTTTCTTGGAAACTGACTAAAAGTAGCAATAAGCCTCAATTCAACTCAGGCCACCTAAGTGGATTTCTTGGGTTCATATTACTTGGTGTAGTAAAAAGAACATTGGACTAGGCTTAGAATTAGAACTTAATCTTGAAGACTATTCCCACCACTTAATTTGCTCTGTGATTCGGGGCGAGTCCCTTTACCTCTTTATGCCTCAATTTCCTCATCTATAAAATGGTGATAATACTTTCCCTGCTTCACAGTAAGGATCAAATAAAAATAATTAATGATAAAGGATTGTCATTACACACTGCTTTATAAGCATGAGCTGTTATATCATCAAATTAAAGTAAAACCCCACCTCACTGTGCAACACATGCTCAATACGCATTTATTGATCCCAGTGCACACTCTGAGCAGATAACATTCCATTTCATTCACATAGCTCTAGTCAAATCTTTCAGTTGTTGCTACTGATTCTGACACAGAATCTCTTTCCCACTCTGTTCTCAAGCTCGTCACTTAGCAGCAGACCTCCTCCTTGACCTTTGCCAGTCATTCAATTGGGGACAGTCCAATCCCACATATAAAATATGAGTTGGGAAGATAAAACCCACACAAGCAAATGGGCAACAATGAACAGGCAACAAATGAAAAGCACCTAGTCCCTCATAACTTAACTCTGAAAGGGGATATCGTGTAGATATCTCAAACTCAATGTCCCCAAAATAACTCACTATCTTTCTCCCAAGTCCTCCACTCTTCCCAACTACCTTATCACAGTTGAGGGTTCCGCCATCCTCTCAGGCATCCAATATTACAACTTCAGAGAAATCTTCAACTTCTCACTCTCACTCATGATACCCAATCCATTATCAAATTTTGTCATTTGTACCTTTACAACCTCTCTTCTATATGCCCCCTTCTCTCCACTCAAACAGTAACCACTCTAGTTCAGACTCCCACTCCCTCTTGTTTGGACTATTGAAAATAGCCTTTTAATTGGTCTCTGTTCCAATCCATCCACCACTCAGCTGCACTTCTTGAAGTGCAGGTCTGACTCTGCCATGCACCTACTCAATAAAGTGGGTCCCAATTACCTCCAGGATCAAATATAAAGGCTTCTGTATGGCATTTAAAAGTTCTTTACAACCTGACCCCTTCCTACCTTTCCAGTCTTCGTAATACTTTACTCCCCTTCCCGAACTCTAGCTAACTGGTTTGTTTGCCATTTCTCTAACCCAAAACCCCCTCTCCTGCATATGCCTTCAGAATAGCTATCTCCTATGCCTCTACCTATAATTCTTTCCTTCCTCACCTCAGTTACTTACTTTCCCTGCCTTTCTCCAAGAATCAGCTCAAACCCTGTCTTCTAAAGAAGGCTTTTCCTAGGTCTCTTACCCCATTTCTCAGCTGTTCTTGCTTTCCCCTCTGAAATCCCCTTCCGCATCAATAATAGGTCCCAGCACAAGCCCTAGTTGGTCATTTTTTTGGGCCCTGATTGGCTTAGAGTGAAAATAAATAGCAATTGTTTCTGTTTTGACCAGAAATCCTGAGGGTCTTCCCTCTTTAGATTGATTTTTTTTAAACTAGGTAAAAGAGGCCATTCTTTGCCTCTTTTCTTACCTAGCCTTAATCACTGAATCACTGTCTCAGTCAAATTGTAGACCTGTTAAAGATCTTAACTTAAAAGAGCTAAGGTCTCCCACTGCATCCTGAGCCATCCATCTCCAGTTGTCCTGATCTATATATTGCCACTGGACCTAGATGTCTCTGGAGAAGAAAAGTGAGGTTAATGACTTTTTGAAGCCCTTCCTCACTTAAATCCTTGCAAGTCATCCTTCCTAATGTCATGGTCCTCCTGGAGAACAAAGGACAATCAACAACCTTCTCACCTACTCTGCATATATCTTGTGTGTGCCTTGTTATTTAGGTGTTTTCTGCCCCATTAGATGATGAGCTTCTTGAGAACTGATTTCTGCCTTTCTCGCTATCCTCAGAATTCAGCACAATACCTAGCATATAATAAGTTCTTTAAAATGATTTTTGATGTATTTTTGATACTTTGATATATAGGATGATGAGATAAGCATATACCAAAGCTAAGTTTCTTGATATAGACTTGTTCTAGGTTTTTTTTTTCCTCACTGAGGACAGTGAAGATGTTTGTAATACCAGATAGCTTCTCTAACACCACATCAAGAAATCATCTCCCATTGTTTCAGCTCAAGCTGATTGTGCTTCCTTATGCTTCCTGAGGCAAGAGGATTTTCTACCCATTTTTCTCCAAGCAGAAGAGTGACATTATAAAATTGGCATGTCCCCAGGTGAACAAACCCTGAATCACTGCACTGGAAGTAGAAGCCCATCTCCTTGGCAAGAACTGTACTTAAGTTATTCTGGAAAATAGCTATCTACTCTTCCCTCTAAATGCCACATACAAAGTTTCACAACCTTCTTGGCAACACATTGCAGAGACTCACCCCACCCCTTCCCTCTTAGTTTGGCACAGTGGAAAATGCAATGGATTTAGACTCAGAACACCTGGGTTTAAATCCTTGCTCTTCCTCTATTTTGGCAAGACACTTTACTCTCTGGGACTCAGTTTCCAAATACATATATATATATATATATATATATATACATATATACACACACACACACACACACACACACACACATATCTTGCTAACTTGTCTCTGCCTGTTATACCTCCAGACATTTTTATTAAGAATTTTTTCAAGAACAGAATAGATGTAGCTTTGCATAGTCTGACCACGGGAGTTTGGAATCATAACTAAATTAGAGGTTTAGAGTAGATGATCTCTAAAGCTTCATCTAGCTCTGATAGTTTTCCTTGCCTCTCTTCCCTTCATTCTCTTTCTCTCCCCTCCTCCCTTTCCCTCTTCTCCCCTACTCTCCCCAACCTTTCCTTCCCCTTACTTTCCTTTCCCTACTTTCTTTTTCCTTCCCTTCCCTCTCCTTCGCTTCCATCTCCTCTCCTTTTCTTAGTCATTTTCATCATCTCTTTGACTTTGAACCCTGGAATCAGTGAATCTCTTCATAGCTTTCTCTGTCCTATCTGCTCACCACTAGGACTAGCATTTTTTATGTGTTTTTAAACACACACACACACACACACAAATAATCTTTTGAGTTAAATAAACATTGTCACCTTTTCTATGGGAGAAATTACAGTATTGAAGAGCAATGTCTGCAAAATATGATCAGGAACCCAATGTGTCAGGATACAATGTAACTGAGAACGTGACTGCCTTTCAATTTGTCAGCAATTTAGCTTCATGCAAATAAATGTTTCAGTGCATCCAGCCAGTTCCCAATGTTCTCTATTAATAGAAAACAATAATAATAGGGAGGGGAAAAGGGAAATCACCTCAAATTCCCTCATCTCATTTTTGCAGGTTTTTTTAACCTCTTTCCCCGCTAAACTCCTTCTCTCATTCTGTCACTCAATGACAAACATGGCTAGTTTGATTTACACCTCAATATAAACTTTTTGAGTTTTGTCTCCCTTTCTTTGGCCCTAACCTGTCTCCTTCTAAGAAAGCTATTCTGGGGCAGTGAATTGAATAAATGACAGTCTGCAAGAAGGAAAAGGAATCAGAGAAAAAGGTAGAACTGGGGGAAAAAAATCTTAGAAATTAGAATATTAGGAGTAGGAACAAGGTGTTGGAGCTGGGAAGAATCTTAAAATAGAAATGTCATGGCCAGCGTGGAAATTTGTTTAATTGATTGTGTTTATTTGTTACCAGGATTTTGTTTTCCTCTTTTCTTTCTTATTGGGTCATAGGTAGAAAGGAGAAAGAAAATTACTAAAAGCTCAATAATTAAAAAAGATAAAATTTAGTTTAAAAAAATCTCACAGGGCAAGGGACATGAGAACAAAGACCATGAAGTGTTAGTGTCAGAAGGAGCTTATAGGATCACAGAATCACAGATTTGGAGCTAGAAGGGACTTTGAAGGTCATCTGTTCCCCATCATTTTACAAGTGAGGAAACTGAGGTCTAGAGAGGTTGCAAGACTTACCCAAGGTAACACAGGTTGTAGTTGACAGAACTGAGATTTAAATCTAGATCCTCAGACTTCAATACCCATGCACTCTTTCTACTGGATCATGATGCCTTAGAACGTAGAGCAGAGGATGTCACATCTGGAAGGGGATCTGAGAACATTTTTAAAGCCTTCCCAGGTCTCTCTGAAACCATCTCCTTCACCATTTCTTACAGGATATTAGTATTCCATCACATTCATGTACCACAATTTGTTCAGCCATTCCCCAATTGATGGCTGTCCCCCTCAATTTCCAATTCTTGGCCACCACAAAAGCCACTATAAGTGTTTCTGTACACATGGGTCTTTTTCCTCTTTCTCTTATTTCTTTGGAGTATAGACGTAATAGTAATATTGCTGGGCCAAAAGGTATGCACAGTTTCATAGCTTTTTGGTCATAGGAACATAGATTGTTAAAGCTACAAGTTGCCTTGGAACACAGTTGTCAAATCTGAGGACTTTGTGCAAGCCTGCAAACTCCCCAGAGTGGCCCAATCATATTGAAATATAAATGGGAGATGTTTAACAAAATAAATAAAAATGTAATACTACATAGATGGTGTTAATTTGTGGTTAATCCCACAAGGATGCATTTCTATTTGAGTATGACACCATGGCTTTAATTGTTTTTTCTTTGATTATAAAAATGAGGCTTTAGATTAGAACATACAAAAAGTGTCAGAGCTGGAGGGAACATTAGAACACAGGCTGTGAGAATTGAAAATAACCTGAGAAAATCTAATGGTAGGGCAGGAAGGACAGCTGGAAAGGACCCTGGAGCACAGTGTTAGAAGAGGCCTTAAACTGTCAGAACTGGTAGGCATCTTAGAACATAGAATGTTAGAACCTCACAGGGCTTTTGAGACCATCTAGAGCAGGCTAGGGAATCTGTGGCATCGAGGCAACATGTGGCCCTCTAGGTCTTTGAGTGTGGCCTTTTGACTGAGTCCAAGTTTTACAGAACAAATCCTTTTGTTAAGGGGATTTGTTCTGTGAAGTTTGGATTCAGTCAAAGGGCCAAACGTGAAGATCTAGAGGGCCACATGTGGCCTCGAGGATGCAGGTTCCCCACCCCTGATCTATACTAACTCCCTCATTTTATGATTGAGGAACTGAAGGCCCAAGAAGAAGTGATTTGCCCAAGGTCACATGGTTAGTTAGGGGCACTGCTAGTACTGAAACCCAGGTCTTCTTATTCCAATCTGGTGCCTTTTTTTTTTTATAACCTCACTAAACAGCTAGGACTATGGATAAATGACTAAGAGAATCAGCAATCCACTGAGAGATCTAGAATTGAATATTAGCCTTTCTAAAGATCATGATATTTCAGAGACAGTGAACATTACTTGATTCATAATCCAGTATAGACTTAACTACCAGCATATAACTAACTGCCTGGGATTGGCTGTTAGCACAAATCACAGGGAGAAGGGTAGCAAGCCCCAGTTATTTGACTTTTAGGTGTATGGTACTCTCCTGAGCCTCCTGCTACTGTCAAACTTCTCCACATCTTTCAGATCTGTCCTGCTCCTGAACTAGCTCCTCATTCCCCACTTTCACTTCTTGTTCAAAGTCCATACTGCTGACCAGCTGTTCCCTTGCTGTCGTTTGCCACCACTCACCCTTCTACCCAGGTTCTTTGTTTTCAGACCCAGACAGTGGAAAGGATCACAGGTTTCCAAGTTCCTCCCTACCTTGGTGTCTATGAAAACATCAACCATCTCCTTTAGGTTTTCATTGTTAGTCATTTCCAGCTTCATGTTTTCACAACTAGTAACTAAAGGTATTGAGTCAGAAGTGTTAAATAACAAAACAGGGAAAAGTTTTAAAATTTAATTCACTTTGATTCACAAATACTTAATTACTTATTCAATGCCTGGCTCTTTATGAACTATAGATCATAGATAGGATGTAGTTTTTGCTCTCAAGGAGATTTCAGTCTGATGCAGGGGAAAGCCATGTTTACAAAAAAAAAAATAAAAACATAAGATAAAGGAGGAGAGCAAGATTAAAGAAAAGAAACCCAGGCAAAGTGCTGAGAGGAATTTGAAGTAGGCATCTTAGTCTATATGCAGCCAGGGATGGCTTCATTTAGAAGGTGGCTACTGAATTTAACCACAAAGATTAGAGGGATTTCAACTAATGGAGAGAGGGTTGGGGTTCATTCCAAACTGTGAGAGAGGAAGCTTGAGGAAAGGCACGGAGACAGAAAGGAGTCTTGGCTTAGCTCTGCTCTTTATCTTTTTCATTCTTGTACCTGGAATGCGCCCTGCCCAAGTCCTTTATCTTTTTTTTTTCCCAGTCCTAAGGTTTTCTGTAAATTCCAATCCCCTCACCTCTTTTTTTAAATTTAATTTTATTGTATTTTCATCTCTAAATTCTTTCCCTCCCACCTCCTCCTCCTTCATTGAGGAAACCAGAAAAACAAGAACTGTTACAAACAAGTCCCTCACCTCTTTCCTTTGATCAAGATAGAGAATTCTGGAAATCCCCATTTGGTCCCACTACAGACCCCAGCATGGAACCATGGGTATTAAATGAGGACCCACAAACTCAGTATAGTTTGTTTCCATCTTAGATGTTGGACATGATAATTTCCAATACTGAGGTTCTATGATCTCAGAGGAAACTCCATGCTGGTATAGCAGCCACAGTGTATCCATTTCTTCAAGAAGAAAGTAAAAAGCCAATTACCTTCAAAGTGCCCCTTGGTTCTGAATATGATGTTAAACCAACCAGAGCATTTGCGGTGGTTTTAGCTGATGTCCAAATGTATTATACAAATTTTGTTACTCTCATGTTGTCAGAAGATGGGTCTAAGTTCCAATTCAGGGACTGGATGACCACATTCAAAATTTGATCCTCCTGACCCTATCTTTCTTTTGTTCTGCCTTCCTGACAGCGATCACTGAGAGAACCTGAAGAAGCCCTTGTCATTGCCTTGTATGACTACAATACAAACGATCCCCAGGAGCTTGCGCTACAAAGCAATGAAGAGTATTACTTGCTCGACAACTCAGAGATTCATTGGTGGAGAGTCCAAGATAAGAACGGGTAGAGTATCTTCTCTATCTGATTTCCAGGACTTGAAGTAGTGGAAGGGGAAGTTGGAACACTTCCTCTATTCCTACTAACTTTGATGACCACTTTGGATGTAGGGAAGAAGAGGGGAAAGTAGAGGAGAAAGGGGGAAAGGAAAGAGAAAGCAAGAGAGCAGAGTTATAACTAGGGTGGGGCCACTGAGACTTTAACCAGAAAATTTAAAGGGCACTGACAGAATTTCATCCTCCACATAGGCAGTCTTGAAACCTCATACATAACCTCATCCTAGTTATCCTAGGATGTTTCCTCATCCCAGCCCAGACCTGCCTTCCCAGCAGACATTAGCTCTTCAGCAGCCTAAAAACCTTTCAATGTTCCATCCTCCTTCCTCTCGCTAAACCCCAGAAGAGAAGAGCTCCCTCCATCTTTACTTGCCTATAGGGCAAAAATTGCTAATTAGGGCTCTGTAAGAAGGGAAGAGGTTTGTTTCTTTCTCAGAAGTAGAAAAGCCCACCTTAAGCACTGAGTTGGCCCCTGACCAGGCTGAAAGTTCCCTGGGTTTTTCCATTGACAACCGCAGTTTAGGGGCTTTGAAATTTGTAACAGCCTTATTGAAGCTGGCTATGTAAGTATTTAAGGTTGAAGGTACACCACACAGAAGGGCGTTTGTTCTGGTAGAAAGAAAAAGGAATAGTGTACTGTGTATACTAGTGTGCTCTTCTTAATGTAGTCATCAAAGGTATACTTCTGTTAATGTCTTCTTCTGAGGCTTTGTGGCATGGAGATGACAGTTCTTGGAAACTATGCTGATGGAGCACAAGTTCTGAGAGGTCCTACCAAGCTGGGAAGGCTTAGAAAACAGGCCAGATAATTGGGGCCATCTGAAGATCAGCCTATATGCAGAGAAATTCATAACCTCCAGCTTCCTCCCATGTTGACTTCAATACTTAGTGCTCTTCTGTTATTGGTTGGAGTACAGAGGTCCTGGGAGGCTCCTACAAGCCTACCAGTCTCTTGGTTCTGGCAATGTCCAGTGTGAGGAGAGAGCAGGATGCCTGGGGGGGGGGGGCTTCTCCCTCTCTTACCCTAACCACTTCCAGTGATCCCAATTATGAACCATTCGTATGCCTGCCCATCCTGTGCAACCAGAGTTTGCCACAGAGGATAGTGAGGAGTGGGGGTTCCCTCACCTTCTTTTGACATTACAAGGATAAGAAGAAGGCACATTGGTTGTCCAGCAGATATTAGAATTTTGGCTTTAAAATACCAGAAAACCTCACATAAGTCCTTCTCTCAAATATAAATAAATGACTAAAATTTGAAAATGGTATAAATTTGGGGATGTATGTAACTCAGATTTTAGTCCCTAGTTGACTTATATCAAATGCCAACTAGCATGCATTTGGAAATTTGTCTAAACTCTGGTTGTCATTATTCTAGACTTTTGTAGAGCTTAAAGCTGTATCAGAGGTCATCAAGTAAAAGTCCCTTATTTTATAGATTAGGAAACTGGGGCCAGAGATGTGCACAGAGTCACATTATTAGTATCGAAGAGCTCAAAGCCAGATCTCCTGACTCTTCACGAAGTGTTCATTCCTTACTTCATAAACTTCTCTCCAGACTCTCCTGGGTGAGACATTCTGTGCATATTCTACAGAAGCAATTCAAGATAGTGGGAAAAACAAGGGTGGGAGGGTGGTGCCAAAAGGCCTGAGGTCAAGGCCTAGCTCACAGCAGCTATGTCACTATGAGCAAACCTCTTAAAGTCTTGGAGCCTCAACTTCCTCATCTGTCTAATGGGGATAATAATTGTTGCCAGATTGACCTCATTAACTATTTAAGAGCCCGCCAGTTGTTAGCTTTTATGAACACCTGCTGTGCACTTAAATTGTTAATGAGGCCAACCTGATACCAGCTGGCTTTGCTATTATTTGGACATTTGGCTGAAATACTTTATGCATTATGAGTATTCTTTGGTTCTGTCAGGAGGCTTTCACCCAAACAGAGGAAATTTGACATCAAAGAATGTCTCTTTGTACAAAACGGCAAATTCTTGTTTATTTTTGTTTTGAGTTTTAGGAATGACAATCCACTTGCTTTTTTATTTTATTGACTCTATTATTGTTGCCAACTCTGATCCTGATGCAAACTTTAAAAAATATTCATGATATTGTATATGTAACTAAAACCAAGTGCCACGAATCTATTCTCCAGTGTACTTTTTTTTACAGTGGGCCAATTGTATTTTTTAAGGACTTATTTTCTACAGTTAATTTTTGTCCTTCTTTTTCCAAGCTATTGACTTTCTCTTGCATACCTCTCATTTCTTTTCACATTTTTTCTTCTACCTCTCTCATTTGACTTTTAAAATCCTTCTTGAGCTCTTCTAAGAAGGCTTTTTGGGCTTCAGACAAGTTCATATTCCCTTTTGAGGTTCCAGATGTGGGTTTGTTAACAACATTGTCCTGTTCAGAATTTCTGCCTTGATCTTCACTCTTCCCATAATAAGAATCTATCATATCTTTCTTTTTGCTCATGGTGTTTGCTTATTTCCTGGCCTTTAAAGAGACTGAGCTCTCCTGCTGGGGAGCAGAGGGCACTGACCCAAGCTTCTTGTGTTGGGAGCCTAGGGCCTGGTCACTGGCTTTGTGTGCTGGGACCTCCAATGTTGGCAGTTAGAGGCTGTGGGATTCTGGAAGCTTACCTGGTGTTGGGCTGGAATCAGCAACACTGGAACTCTAAAGGTGGGATTGGGTAGTGTGGCTCCTGGAGATTTCCTGCTCACCTAGGTCTTTCCTTCCTTTTGCTTTCTTCAGCTCCTTTCAGATGGATATCATAGGGAATTTATCTGCCTGGGGCCCCTTGGAGTGCTGCTTCCCTTAGTTTTGCTGAGGCACTGGGAGAGCCAGTTGCTGTAGAACGCTGAGGCACCTGGTGGTTTTCTGAGCTGGTTTCCACCAGTTCTCCCGCCCTCAATGAGGCACTGGGGGTCCAGGTGTTGGTGTTTCCCTGTTCTACCACCTGGGCTTCAGGATCTCCTCCTGGTATGCTGAGGTGGGGCTTTCAGCTAGCTTGCTGGGATGTCACCCGTTCTGTACTGCTCCCTTTCCCCCAGGGTAACAGCGGCCTTTCCAGTTAATCCCTCAAGCTACCTGGGCTACTGGACTGCTGCACCCCGTCTTTCTTCTGGTTCAGCTGTTCCAAGGTTTTTCCTGGGGTGATATTTTCTGGGCTTTCAGGGGTTGATAAGGGAGGGTAAGAGAGACTCACCTCTTACTCCGCCATCTTGGCTCCCAGAAGCAGAAGTCACGAATCTATTCTCCTGCATAACTATTTATGACACTGATCATTTAAGCTCTACTTTTTTTTCAGCAAAGTCAGCATCAAGAAAATACCAGTGGTGTGTAACCTACTATTTGCTGGGAATGTTGTAGAGGCAAAGGGAAGGGAATAAGCATTTATAGAGCACCAATTATGTTCCAAGTGCTGTGCTAAGAACTTTTACAAATATTATTATTTCATTTTATCCTCACAACAACTCTTTGAAGTGAGTGCTATTATCATCCCTATTTTATAGTCAAAAAAACTGAGGTAAACAAAAGTTAAGGGACTTAGCTGGGGTCATATTTGAACCCAAATCTTCTAAGGCCAGATTTGAATTCAAGTTTTAATGACATTGGGTCCAGTGCTCTATCCACTGTACTGCCAGCTGCCTGATGGGATTCATTCACTGGGGCAAGGGGCAGTTATGTGATCTTCTAAGGTCACTTCCAACTCTAACGTTCTATAGTTCTTTGACTATGAAAGGATGGAAGATAAAAATATACCAGTATATTGAGAGCCATGCCTAGCATGAAAACCCTCTATTTCATTAGTGATTCCTTTCTATCCTGTCTTCCTCCAACAGATTACCCCTTCTGTTATCTCTATCACTCATCTTCAATCTCTCCCTGTCTACTAGCTTCTTCTTTATCACCTACAAACATACTCATGTCTTCCCCATCCTCAAAGAACTATCACTTGATCCTTCCATCCCTGCTGATAATCATCCTATATCTATTATGTCCTTCATAGCTAAACTCCTTGAGCAGGTTGTACTAGGAAACATGGATGACTGAAAGAATTTGCCTTTTCATCATGTTGTCTGATATTACTAGTCAGTAAAAAAAATTTATTAAATGCTTTGTATCAGGCACTATACAATCCCTGCCCTCAAGAAACTCACATTGTAATGGGGGAAACATATAAGTAAGTAGATACAGACATATATGATATATTACAGAGAAGATGGAATATAATCTCAGAGGGGAAGGAGCTATAAGCTTAGGGAACAGGCTTTGAAGATAACACTTTCTTCCCCATATATTCAAATCATCGAAGGAAAGATGTTGGTTTTTTTGGTTTATTTTTTGCCTAAATGACCTGAATAACAGTCTCTGTTCCTCTGTGTATAGCACATAATAAATGCTTATTGACTGACTCAATATTTAAAGAGCTTGGGTTGTAAGGTCGGACAAATACTTTCATCACAACAAGCCTGACAGGTTGGTGGTGAAAGTAAATATATCAAATGATATTAATCAGCTCACCCAGGATCACACAGCTTTAAGTGTCAGAGACAGAATTCAAACTCAGATCTGATTTAGGTCTAGAGCTTTCTTTTATACTCCTCACTCCTCCTCCCTTTCCCCTTTCTTTTTCTTTTTCCTTCTCTTTCCTTCCTTCTCTTTCCACCCCCTCTCCCCTTTTCCTCTCTGTCTCTCCCCTCCTCCTTTCCCTCCCCTTTAGCTTTCCCTTTCTTTTCCTTTTTCGACTTCCCTCACTCCCTCTGCACAACCTATTTAAAAAATTAATGTCTTTTGTCATTACATAAATCATTTCCACCCCCTCCCAAGCTTGTAACATCTTGTAAGAAAGAAAAATGTTTAAGCAAAACCAACACAGCTCCATGTTTGACAGGTTATGTAACATTCTGCACTCACAGTTCCCCACCTCTATATTTACTGAAATGCTAATGCTGAATTCCTTCTTTCTTGTAAAATACTTTAAGTATAGGAATTTCTGTGCCAAAACAAAGCCTTCCTATGGTGGAAGCAAGCTTTATCTCTGGCTCTAGCCATTCTGCAAGAGGCAGCTACATGGTGCAGTGGATAGGGTGCTGGATCTGGAGTCAGGAAGACTTAGGTTCAAATGTGACCTCAAACATTTACTAGCTGTGTGACCCTGCAAAGGTCACTTAACCTCCATCTTCCTCAACTGTAAAATGGGGATGATAGAACCAACCTCCCAGTGTTGTTGTGAGGATCCAATGAAAAATATCTGTGAAGTGGTTAGCATAATACCTGGCACATAGTAGGCACTTAATAAATTTATATTCCCTTATGTATATATCATCACCTTTGGTAGAATGTAAACTTCTAGAATGTAATGCTGTATGCTGTTTGTCTCTCTGAAAGCTCTTTAAAACCAGGAAATGCATTTTGTACTTTTATGGTTCAAATCCAGCCTTATTTACTAGCTATGTGACCCTACACAAGTTACTTAACCTCTGCCTACCTCAGTTTCCTCAACTGTAAAATGGAAGTAATAATAGCAGCTATCTTGCAGGGTTGTGGTGAAGATCAAATGAAATAATATTTGTAATACATTTAGTACAGTGCCTGGTACATAGTAGGCACTTAATAAATGCTTGTTTCCTTCCTACAAGGTTATTTTTAGTTTTTTAACAAAATTAAAAGAAAGCAAAACTAGTCCCCCAACAGGCAGATGAAACCATCTTATCTCTCAAAAGTCTTCTATATAGAGATCTGACATTTTCTGCTAAGCACATTTAAAACACATCGTTTAAAAAAAAAAAGGAACTCAAGATGTGTTTTCCCTTTGCGGAGTGTAATCAAGGTAGGGGAATGAGACTTCCGGTGGAAAAAAGGTCAGATTCAGAGTCAAAGGACCTGGGGTTCTAATCTCAGGTAGTAACCTATATGAGCTTATAAGCGTGTTATAACAGAAAATATTGGCCAAGAGGTCAGGCAAGGTGGGCTCTGCCACTGGCTGTAAAACGAATGGTTTCCCCTCTTTGTGCCTCAGTGTCCTTATTTGTAAAATGAGGGGTTGGACTAGGTAATTCTTTCTAGCTCTATCATTCAATAAAAAGGATACTAGCAGGGGCAGCTAGGTTGCAGTGGATAGAACAGCAGTCCCTGGAGTCAAGAGGACCCGAGCTCAAATTGGCCTCAGACACTTGACACTTACTACCTGTGTGACCCTGAGTAAGTCACTTAACTCTGAATGCCTCACCAAAAAAAAAAAAATAAAAAATAAAAAAATAAATAAGGATACTAAAGACAGCTACATTGTACAGTGAATGTGAATAGAGAGCTGGGCCTAGAGTCAGGAAGATGGCAGAAATGCATTAGCTGTGTGACCCTGGTAAAGTTAACTTTGTCTGCCTCAGTTTCCTCTTTTATAAAATGGAAATAATAACAACATTTACCTCCCAGGGTTATTGAAAGGATCAAATGAGATATTAGTGAAGTGCTTAGCACAATACCTGACACAGAGTAGATGTTTAATAAATGCTTCTTGCCTTCTCCCTAGCTGGTTTCCTTCTCCATAGAAGGCTTTGGAGAGCCAGGCTATTTCTGTTGTATTCTTCAAGTGATTGTTCTCCATCTTATGCACACACTCAGCTAATTCTACCTTTACCCAGCAGAGATTTTCTGATTCAGGATAAGCTGCATTCATTTCTCACCGTCAAGATTAGGGAGAGCTTTGAATCAGGGCTCACAATCATTGACTTATATCTTCTGTGAACTGTGGTTGGAAAGTCACTTTTTTTAATGTTTTAATTCTGTTTCCTGAATGAAGACTTTTGGCACTGATGTGGAAAAAACAATTATCACAAAAAATTTCCATAAGGAAAAAGGAAACTAATTAAGTTTTTTTTTTTTCCTATAGAAGAAATTTCACAGTGAGCAGGAAGAAGGGCTATCTGAATAAAATGTCAAATTCCTATTTATTCTCGTTTAGATGCTAGCAGTGGCAATCCCACTTTCCTTTAACTTCAAGAACCTTTTATTGCTGCCATTTCTGATGATGATGTAAAGCTCTCTCATATTCAGGATGATATGTACATGGCGAACATCAATATAATAAATCTATATCTATGTATATATGTATATGTGTTTATATATAAATATATATGAATATATATATATATTTTAAGCCCACCTTTCCCTTATAGAATCCATGAATTTTAAAATTTCTTTCAGTGCAATACTATTCAGGCATGGACTACAGTTAATGACTTCTGAGGTCTCTTCCGATCTGTGATGTGAATTTGTGATGATGCTGTTCTTAGGGTAGAATTTCAAGCATCAGTCAGAAAATGAGAGGATATTTAGGGACCAGAGGGCCTCTTTGAAATCACAGCCCTGCTTATGGAGGAAACCAACAGCCCACATCTGATCTGTTATAAGCTAGGGTTGCCCAGGCTCAGAGACATGGGAAATTTCAAGGGCAAGGGCTCTCAAATGAGCCCCTCCCACCAGTCTCCCTTCTACCTTTTGTGAGAGGTCAATCTGTATTCGTCATACCCACATTCCAATACCCCAATATTAGGTAACACTACCCCAGACTGGCAATATGGTCTTAGACAAATCAGTCCAGTTCTCTAGATCTCAGCTTCCTCATTTGTAAAATATAGGAGTCACTGGATCATCTCTAAGCTATTTTCCAGCTCTATGATTCTAAAATTAGTTAGAGACAGGCATTTCTGTAATAGTCTAACCACAATTCATGTTTTAACAGGCATGAAGGATACGTTCCAAGCAGTTACCTGGTAGAGAAATCACCAAATAACCTGGAAACATATGAGTAAGATGATAATTATTTGATTCTTGTGACTTTGTAATCTGATACATGCAGGTTACCTTCCTAAGTGCTTGTGGGTGGTGGGAGGGAGGTAGGGCAATACCTAGAAGGTTCTTCCACTCAACCCTCAAATGTATGTCTAAATGAATTTAGTTTAAAATGAACTGTCAGCTTTGAAGGGGAAAAGGAGTCATAGTAAAGGACGATGAGGCATTTGTGTGAAAGGCAGGACCAACCCTTTGCCCTGGTGATGGGGGAAGAGGAGCAGGGCAGAGCCAGGTACAAGGTGTAAGAGGAAGATCATGTACTGACTGTATAAATTATTTCTGCTCCCCACTCCATGTCCCAAGCCACTCTCAATTCAGCCTCTAGAAATGTGAGTCCTTCTCAGTCTCATCACTCTGATTCCTCATATTTAAGGGATGGCCCTGCTTAAATGAATGTATTGTGCTATGTTTCTGTAGAAAGGGAAGAGGACATGTTGGATGGGCCAGAATTATTGGTTGCCCTGGAGAAGGCAAGAAGAAAATTATAGAAAAAAATCCATAAAAGCAGACCCTTGACACAGCTCAGATTCCAGGCAGTCCCCATGCAGTGTTTTCAAAGTGAAAAATCATTTCTGTCTAGTGTGCCTAGATTGTAGAAGAAATAGCAAGAATATTCTTTCCTAACTAGAAGACTATACATGGAAATTAATTCAGGGGCAACAATGACTACCTTCCCCCACCCTCCATCGCCAGCTGAATGTTTCACATTATACAGTTGCGAGGTACAAAGTACTTGCCTTCTGAAAGAGACTGGGAACGTCAGTAGAATGCGGACTAATGAGAACTGCCATTAAATCATTATGGCTCTTGACAACCCAGATATGCATGTTATTTGTTGCTGAAATTCTGATAGCATGAGCAGTGAAGTATAGTAATGAGAAAATATGGGTATCATTTCCTGAAGGGTCTCTTACCCTTGGACCTATTATTATACTGATTGGCAGTGGTGTGTGTGTGTGTGTGTGTGTGTGTGTGTGTGTGTGTGTGTGTGTATGAGAGAGAGAGAGAGAGAGAGAGAGAGAGAACATATCCTATTAACATGACTGGTAGGGCCATTGGCTGCAAGGATATCTGGAGTTTAAGCGGAGCAAACATTTGGCATATTTGAGTAAAATAACAATATTCTGTTTGCCACCAAATACCTCCAAGAGGTCTGATAAGGCCAAGGGAGTTGTTCCAACTCTAAATCCTGTCAGCCTTTTATTTTCCTCTTTGTCCATGATCAAAAAATCTTAAAGGAAAGTGAGAAATTCCATCAATCACTCAAGTGCTATGTCTGTACAAAGACAGACACTCCAAGACTTAGAAACATCTATATCTTTTCATCCTCATGCTTGACCTTATGTTGGCAGGGTCTGTTTCTACACAATAAACATAGAAGTAGACACCATGATAACCTTGGGGACCACCAGGTCATTAAGATGTCCCAAATAATGAGATTCAACCTTCACTGAATCCACCATGCTTTGTTGAAAGCCACATTCAGATAGACTTGATCAATTTGAAGAGTTTTTGTTGTTTTGTTTTGCATTTTTTTTAGCCTAAGCATCCAGACTTGTTACCTGAGTGACAGCTGTAGTCCCATGTACACTCTAATGTATAAGTTCTTTGTAAATAGAATTTCTGCCTATATTAGCACTCCTGTTTGACTATGAAATATTTCATGTTAAATGACTGTCCCTGCCCCAAATTCCTCCTTCCATGCCACCATAGCTTACTCGAGAGAACAAACTTTATGGCTACTGAATCAGATGTGTTTTCATTTTTGGTCCAGACTTGTAATTTCATCAGTGTAGGGAACTCCCAGTGAATATAGGTTCTTTCTACCAAAGCAAACCAAAGAGGTCCCTGGAAGCGCTGAAAGGTTAAGTGACTTGACCGGAGTCTCAGAGTCAGTATGTGTCAAAGATGACATTTGTACCCCAGGCTTTCTGGCTCTCTATCCTCTACTCCTGTTGCCTCTCCCACCTGTGTTTTCATAGCTAGAAATTCTACCCTATTTCCATCCCCGATTTCTCTGTTTTCTTCTTTTGGTTGTTGCTCTTTAAAAGAATATACTAAGACACAAACAAATATTTTTATCAGTATTTGAGTCAGTGGTAGACCCAGTCTGAGTCTCTAAGTAAAAAAACATGATTAGTGAGATTTTAAAAGGCTATTTTATAGCCATTTAATTTGCATTAATGTTTTGAGCAGCCACAGGAATCATCCCACATATAACCACCCACGGTGTTTTGAAATGAAAAGTAACATAAGAAAAATTAAATATTGTATTATATGTGAAGGTATTATATATTTTATCTGTTGTGTTTGGGAAAACTGATAAAAGAATAAGAACATATTATTTTTCTGTCCTGATCCTTTTTTATAGTTATATAGTTAAGTTTTGCACAATTCAGATGACAAGGACTTTTTAAACTACTTTTAGGTGGTACAACAAGAGCATCAGTAGAGACAAAGCAGAAAAACTCCTTTTAGACGAGGTAAGTGCAGTGACCTTGGCATTGGACTTGGGCAAAAAGGGGGGATTGGTTTCCTTCTGCCTTGTAATCGACTTGAAAGGAATAATTTGATTCCCTGGATTAATGCAATCATTTCCCTTCATGGTAAGTATTATGTGTGCTTACATGCTATAGTAAAAAGGGAACACTAGACATGTAACTGGAGGAGCTGTGTTCAAATATCACTGTTGTTGCTTACTTGTTATATGACTTTGGGTAAGTCACTTAACCTCCTGGAGTCTCAGTTTCCTCATCTGTAAAAAGAGGCGGGGGGTGGCCTAGATGATCTCTGAGGTTCCTTTCAACTCTAGCTTTATGACCCTATGAAAATCAATGGGGCTGGTCTTCTGTGTTGCACCTATATGGATTAGTGGCCAATCACTATGGCTGTGACTGGCATGACCAACTGCAGATGGGCCAGAGTGAGCTGCAAATGATTTTGCTGAGTAATAGATTTTTTTCTGACTACCATCATAGCTATATCCATATCTAAGTGGCCATTTCTCAAATCCTGGCTGACAGCCCAGTAAAGAAATGTTGACTGGCTTCAGGCTATTGGGAGAGAATTCAGTATGCTTGCTGAAGTGAGAGTCAGGAGACACCAGGTGTCAGGAGACATTAACTCTATTCCCAGGCAGTGGTGTAGTGGAAAGAATAATGGATTTGGAGTCAGAGGGCCTGGGTTCAAATTCTGACTTTGCTGCTTACTATGTGACATTGGAGATACTTAATCTCTCTGGGACTCAGTTTCTGTAAAATAAAGAGATTAGATTAGAGACAGCTAGGAGACACTGTGAATAAAACAGGACCTGGAGTCAGGAAGTTCAAATCCTGTCTCAGACACTTACCAGCTGTGTGATCCTGGGCAAGTCATTTAACCTCTGTTTACTCAGTTTCCTCAGCCATGAAATGGAGATAATAATAGCAGCTACACCCCAAGGATGCTATGAGGATAAAGTGAGATGTATTTGTAAAGCATTTGGCAAATTTTAAAGTACTATAGAAATGCTAGCTATCATTATTAGATGACCTCTAACGTAATTTCCAGCTCTAGCATTCCATGTTCTTCACTAGAATCAAGGAACTTTCAAGAATGACTAGCAGGATCCTGGACTAGAATTACGGAAGTATGTGTAGACTAAGGATAAGGAGGGAGGCTGCAATGTTGTTCCACCAGCACCAAAACCATCACTGCCCTCAGACCACAGTGGAAATAGGTGAGGACTCTGAGTCCAAGAGGGAAAGCAAGGGAAGGAGGGAAAGGTGAAAGGGAGGGGAGGGAGGGGAAGAGAGGCAGTGGGAAAGGGAGGGGAGACAAGGGAAAATTCCTAAGGTCCTTTTACTATGCTAAAGCTCTAAGACTATATGGTATATAGAACAGTAATTCTCAAAATGTGGCCCACTGGCCCCTGGGTATCCCTAAAATCTTTTCATTGGGTCTGTGAGGTCAAAACTATTTACATAATAATACTAAGATGTTTTCATTTCTGATAGGGTAAGTGACAATAGATATAACTCACATAAACAAAAGACCTTTGGGGTCCTTAATAATTTTTGAGTGTAAAGGGATCCTAAAACTAAAACATCTGAGAACCCCAGGTGTAGACTATAAGACTCTTAGCTATTTATACTTTTAATTATAAAAATTCAGAGAAGGAAAGAATCCAGGTGGGCCGGAGTAGTTCTGAAAGGTTTCAAAGAAGGCTAGAATTTACACTGGGCTTTTGATTATGTGGAAGGAGACCTAATCTTTCCTTTAGGTCACCTGTGCTCAGAACTTGTACACACAATTTCTACCGTAGTGAAACCTCACAAATTAGAACTAATTAGGAGGAAGACAAAATTAGTAACAAATCTGAACTATGAGTATTAGCTGAAAGGATTGCATGTGTTTAGCCTGGAGAAAAGAAGCTCTATCATGTCTACTCTAGTATTTAAAGGGCTATCATGTGGAATGAGGGATTATGTTTATTCTGCTTAGACAGTCCCAAAGGGCAGAGTAATGAGGAAAAGTTACAGAGAGTCTGATTTCATCTTGAAGTAACAGCAATCCTCATTGCCCAAGGTAACACAGGTAGCAAGTAGTAGGGATGACATTTGATCTTCCAACTCCACAGCCAATGTTATTTCCTCTGCACCAAATTACCTCCCTAGACCTGAGGTTTCCGAGCCTCAGTTTGCTCATCTATAAAATGGGAATAACAGTACCTATAGTGGGGTGGCTGGGAGACTTGAATGAGATTGTGTATGTAAAGCACTTTGCAAACATGAAAGTACCATATAAATGTAAATCATTTTTAGAAGAATAAGTATTAATACTATTGATAATTGCTTTAGCCAATCCTTTTTTCAAACATCCATAGAAAGTGCAAACCTCAGTCTGACCCCTTCTGGGATTAACAACAATTCTACAATAGTGGAAACTGAACCAGTATATTCATTCTTAAAAAGCAAATACTTCTTTGTAATTATTCTTGGTTTGTTTACTGTCCCTTTAATATTTAATACCTTTGTTTAATTAATTAATATTTAATATCTTCTAAAAGAGACTATACAATGAGGCCAGAGAGTAGTTCTTTTATTTCTTTTTCTTTTTTAACTTACCAGAGCTTTTAGTATAAATAGGCCCAATGATGATCATACAGGAAGAACCTAGTAAGTGCCTGAGTAACTGGTAACAAGTTCTGAGCCATTAGAAGCAGTCACAATGATCTCTTCAGAAGAATAGAAGGGGCACAGGCACAGAACACAGTATGCAACTGCTGGACTAGGGGAAGGGGAAAGAATGTAAATCAGTCATTTCTATCATACCCATGCTTAATAATAACTAAGTCACCTTCAAATCCAAAGGACAGTGAAAAGTCAATATGTGTGTAAATACATACCCCAGCACTAGGCTTTTCCTAAGCTGAGGAAAAACAGTGAAAGAAATGATTAACTTTGAAAGGCAGGGTTCCACATAGTTCGACATGCATCCTAGAACCACAGAGTTGGAAACAAACTTAGAGGGCATCTCATCTAAGCCCACCCCTCACTTTATAAATAGGAAACTGAGACCCAGAGAGGTTAAATGTCTTAATCAAGGTTACACTGGTGGTAAATGGTAGAAATAAGATTCAAACTCTCATTCCAAAATAACATGGAAAAATAGGTAACAAATGAATCAAATGAAAAAAGTGAAAAAATGAAGTAACAATGGAGAGAAATTGGTAGAAACTTATTCCAGAAAGAACAAGAAACAATGGCTAGAAGACGAGTGGGGATAGTTGGAGCAATTTTGGCTTAACAAGTAAAAGAACCTCCTGTCAATTGGAGTTGCCTGTGGAGGATGACTAGTGAAACTGGGTTCTTCATCTTTAGAACATTTTACACAGAGGCCGGATGACCACTAGTGGAGTACATTGTAGCAGGCTTTCCTTTATTGAATAAGAGTCAGGGCTAATTAATCTGATTATTATTTAGTTGTTTCAGTTGTATCTGACTCTTTGTGACCCTATTTAGGGTTTTCTTGACACAGATACTGGAGTGGCTTGCCATTTCCTTCTCCAGTTCGTTTTACAGATGGGGAAACTGAGCCAAACAGGGTTAAGTGACTTGCTCAGGGGCCCACAGCTAGTAAGTATCTGAGGCCAGATTTGGACTCAGAAAAATGAGTCTTCCTGACTCCAGGCTCAACACTGTATCCACCACCCCACCTAGCTGCCCCTCTGCCTATATATACTCTGGTAATCGAGGCCCTCTCTGTGTGGCAGTCCCGAGTGAGGGCTCTTTTTGAGGTCATGAAATCCGAGTGGTTTAGACTTCTTCTGAACTCCTTGAAGGAAGTACACAGGTTTGTCATAGTTTAGCTCACTCATCTTCCCCAGAACTGTGGCTCTATCTGCTGCCTTTACCCTCTGACCAACATTTCCTGTCTTTAAGACTGAAGGTTGCTCAGAGCAGCAACCAGGAGGATACACAGCGGCAGGTTCTATCAGGTACAAAGCACCAATCTCAGCAGTCTAAGCTGATGTGATTTAAGCCTTCAGCTGCTGACCAAGAAATGACCAGCCTTTTCTATATTGGTAGGACCAAACAACTCACCTATTGACCAAGACCAACATGTCTTCAGGGAAACAACAGCTTCTTTTTAAAAAACAATCTCCACAGCGTTGTAAAAGTAATTTCTGCGTCCCTCTGTGCCTGTATTAGGCTCATAATCTTCCAGTTTGTTAAACTGATGGTTCACAAACTTCACAGACAGCTAGATGACAAGTTAAAACCAAAGTGTAGACGCATCTGTTACTGTTTTCCCTGCTGGAGAGTCTATGCTGCCCCTTAGTAACTTAGTAACTCCACCTGGGCATTTAATAAGGGGGGATGGGGAACCCCCCCACCACCACCTTGGATGGGATCCAATTATCCATCTAGTTCTCCCTTGCTAACATAGAAGGACTGATTCTAGGCAAAATTTTAAAGGTCAGTTTTGTCTACTGGTGAATCTTCTTTCTCTCTCTTTCTCCCCAGCCTGGAGTCCATAGTCCTAAACTCCTCTTTACTTCTCTACTATCAAAGCTTACTCCAAAGAAAGATTCTGATGGAGGCATTTGGGGAAGGGGGAATAAACATTTATTAAGTGACTACTATGCACTAGAAACTTTTACAAATATTATCTTATTCATTCCTCACATTCACCCTGTGAGGTAGGTGCTATTTTTATCCCTACTTCATAGCTGAGGAAACTGAGGTTAAGTGACTTGACCAGGGTCTCACAGCTAGTAAGTGTCTAAGTCTGGATTTGAACTCAGTTCTTCTAGACTTGAGGCTCAGCTATTCTATCCATTGTGCCACCTGGCTGCCTATTTACACTGAGGTTTACATAAGTGATAGGTTTTAAGGTATGATACCCTCATGCAGAGAACTATGAAATTTCCTCAAGAACAAACCAAAATGTAGCACTAGTAGATGAAAAATTAAAAATCTTTGAACATATCCATATGATTTGCATAGAACCACTCAGAATCCCAGAGTTGTATGGTTCCTAAGCCATCACACAGCCTAACACAGAACTGGTTAAGAATTTCCTCTACCACCTCCCCAACAAAGAAATCCAGTCTTCACTTGAAAACTCTAAATAATGGGAAGCCTATCCCCCCAAAGTAGCTCATTCTACTTAAGGGGAGCCCAAATTGTTAGGTAGTTTTTCTTTATATGGAGCTGAAATCTATATTTCTGCTACTACTTCTGCTTTCTCCTAGTCTTTCCCTCCAGAGCAAGGGTTCTTAACATGAGATCTGAGCACTTGGGTTTTTTTTTCCATTTTAATAACTGCATTTGAATAAAATTATTTTACTTCATAAGCCTATGTATTTACAAATATTATTTTGAGAAGGGGTCCAGAGGTTTCACTTAGTGCCAAAGGGAGCCAGGACAGAAAGTAAGCATAATACCTTTCCTTTTTCTTTGCTCCATTCTAAACATCCCCATGTCCTTTAATTAGTTCTTATATGACATGGCTTCCAGTGCCCTCACCATGCCAGGTCCCTTCCTTTGGACAGGTTTCAGCTTGTTAATATTTTTCCAAAAATGTGACACCCAGAAAAGAACTCTAGATGTGGTCTGCTGGGCCAGAGTTCATCTCCCTTATTCTAGACACTGCCTCTCTGAATACAGCTTAAGATAGTATCCAGTTTTTTGACTGCCAGGTCACACCTACATTTTGAATTGCAATTCACTAAAACCCCTAGATCTTTTTTCATGCGAATCATTGTCTGGCCATACCCTCTCCATCATATACTTAAGTTGACCTCTGGAACACAAATGTAGAACTCTCCATTTTAACCATTAAATCTCATCTCCTTAGATTCACCCCATAGGCCTGACCTCTGGCGGTGTTTTTGGTCTCTTACTGTAACATCCATTCCATTAGAGCTGGTCTGCCTCTCCCGACTTTGTGACACCTGCAGATTGGAAAACCTTGCCATCTGTGCCAGCATCTGATAAAATGTTGAACATCCCAGGAAGACAGTGGACCCTCGTATTTCTATAATACTTTCCTTACAAGGTCCTGGGAGGTGGTAGATATGCCAACTGTTATACCCATTTAAAACAGATACGAAGGGGCAGTGAAGTGGTGCAGTGGATAGAGCTCCAGCCTTGGAGTCAGGAGGGCCTGAGTTCAAATGCAGCCTCAGACCCTTCACACTTACTAGCTGTGTGACCCTGGGCAAGTCACTTAACACCAATTGCCTCACCAAAAAAAAAAAAAAAGATAAAAAAAAACTGAGTCTCAGAGAGAGGAAGTAATTTTTCTGAGGTCATACAATTAATAAGTAGCCTAGCCTGGACTCATTCCAGGTCTCTAGAGTTCAAATCTCTTTACTTTTAACATTTGTTGTGTCATTGGCCCTTTGAAGCCTCTCAGAATAATGTTTTTAAATGCATAAAGTTAAAACAAATTGAATAGCAAAAGAAAGCAATTACTCATGTTGAAATAGTTATCAAAATACTTTTTAAAAAAGTTCCCTGACTGCAAGTTATGAACACCTCCAAGTTAAGCTCTATACCATGCTGTCTCTTAATAATTAGAACATCCCATTCAGAAATTTTATAAAATGCTATGTTCACCTCTGTATGTTTTCTCCAGTTGTCCAGGCAACTAGGTGATGGAGTGGATACAGGTCTAGAATCAGGAAGACCTGAACACTCTCAGATACTTACTGGCTGTGTGACCCTGGACAAGTCCCTTTAACCTCTGTTTGCCTCAGTTTCCTCACCTGTAAAACAGGAATAATAATAGGACCTACCTCCCAGAATAAGGATAAAGTGAATTAATATTTTTAAAGCACTCTGCAAACCTTAAAGTGCTATAATAATGTTTATAATAACATATTACAATAATTATAATATATAACACATAATACTGATATATAATTATATTAATATATCACATATAATTATATTTATATAATAATACTATGCATAATGTTATCATAATAATATAATGCTATGATAATATTATTATAATAGTAGTCATTATCATTATTCCCACTATAAAGGATAGGGTTCAGGCAAAATTTGAAAGTAGGTAAACTTTGTCTTTTGTTGGGACCCTGTTCTCACTCCCTTCCCAATCTGGCCCCTGGAGTCCTTACTCTCCTCCTACTTTCTCCACCATTAAAATCTGCTCCAGACAAAGGACCTGATATACCCATATATCCAGAAGTATAAATAGATGCTATAACCTAAGATATAATACCCCATTCCAGGTGTGTGTGCATCTGCCTGGTACCAGACACCTTAAGAAATGAATAGCTAATCGTAGAATGTCAGAAATCTATGAGCCGGTGGAAGCAACATTGAGGGAGTTACCTTTCTGGTACCCATAAAGGCAAAAATGTTCCAATCAATCTCACAACCCCCTTTCAATATGCAGGGCTCTGTGTCAGATTGCAGGAGTACAAAGTTGAAAGACAATCCATTTCCTAGCATGTCACCCAGGCAGTGTGAGACAGTATAAAGAAGCATTAAGAGCCAGAAAGCTGGAATGCAAATCCCAGCTCTTTGTCTTACTCTTTTTTTTCTTTGTCTTATTCTTGGCTTGCTTTTGGAGAGATATTACGAATTACAATTGGACTTAGGAAGACTCAGGGAAATTGCTTAACCCCTCTGAGCCTCAGTTTCTTTATCTGTAAAATAAGGATAAAAATACCAGCAATATCTACTTCTCAGAGTTATTGTGAGGTTCAAATGAGATAAAGTTTGGAAAATACTTTGTAAACTGTAAAGTGTAATGTAAATATTAGTTATATTATTAATCTTATGACTTTGAGGCTTTTAACTTTTCATAGCTTCAGTTTCCCCATATGATAAAAAAGGATGAATGAACAAGTATTTATTAAATGTTTACTATGTGCCAAGTGCTGTGAATTCAAGCACAGATAGAAAAAGTGAAATAGTCCCTGCTCTCAAAGGGCTCACACTTGACTTTGGGGAAATAACACATAAAAGAAAGTTCAGCTGGGGGCAGATAGAAAGGCCTGGGAGCCCTAAGGGAACACCAGGAAGGTGGATGACAAAGCCCAAGGGTTTTTCGGTTACAATAATAAGTCATATGACAATGCCCAGGTTCTGGAGGTTGGTAGAAGAAGGACCAATAAGGCCTGGTGGTCCTCTGTCTCGCTAAAAGGAATAGAGTTGATGATTCCTGTCTCATCCAAGTGGAGTCACCAATCAAACAGCCTGATTAGGCACTGGGCATCGGGGAAGGGGAAGAAGGGAAGCCAGACAGCAAGGGCACCCTGAGTGGAGGAAGATCTTTCTTCCACTTAACAACCCAAATGGGTTCTGGTCAGCAAAGGATGAGGGGCAGGGGCAGAAGGAAAGCAAGGAGTGAGGGACTGAATTAGAAGATCTCTAAGGGTCCTTTCTAGCTTGCACTACCCGCTTCACAGAGTTGTGGTGGGAATCAAACGAGATAAAGCATATAAAATGCCTTATGGATTTTAAAGCCCTGCATCAATTATTCTGCCTCTGTATAATATCAGTGTGGAGCAGCAGTAACCTGCCTCAAGCTTTGTTTTAGTTCCTATGACAGTTATGGCTTCTCCAGAGTGTCTGAAGGCAAGGCTGCACATGAAGCTAATTGGTTTCCAGTGATTGATGGCTGATCTCTGTTTCTTCTGCAATTCTTACAGGGCAAAGAAGGAGCCTTCATGGTGAGGGACTCTAGGACGCCAGGAACATACACTCTTTCCGTTTTCACCAAGGCAATCTTAAGGTACAGTATGCACAGCTGCAGTTAGGCATTCTTGTCCTTGGTAGCCAATTCAGTTTTTGGAGGGGAGGACAGTGTGCTTTTGGTGCAGATATGTTGGGAGAGGGGCTGGCCCATTTCCCAGAGAATACAGCCCATATCCCTGGTGCAAAGCTGATACTCCTCACCCTCAACCCCCCTGGGATGAGGTGGCAGGCAGAGGGGTGGAGCAAATGTCCAGCCATGCTGATGGGCTGAGTTCTCCAAAAAGTAGATGCAGACTGCAAGACCGATGTGGGGAGGAAGAGACCCCTCTCTCCACCCCCACCTCCTCATGCACCTCCTCCCACCCTCCCTAGCCAGTGGCAGCAGCCTGGGGGAACAGCTCTAGTCCTGGAATAGTCCCGATCTGATCTGACAGCACACCAGGCTATTTCAGATCAACACCTCAGCCAGAGACAAGTCTGAGATGCGTGATAGTTGTAGGAGGGGTGAAAGGGAGGGAGAAAAGAAAACAAAGTTCATAGAAAGTATAATCTCTAGTCTGGAGTTTATAATCTCCCGTGTCTGCTCCAGTGTGGTCCTTGGTCTTCCCTAGCCATAAGTAACAGGAATATTATTACCTGGGCCACTCCTGCTTGAAGCATGGATTCTGGGTAAGGCTGAAACTAAAGTCAAACGTAGGTAGAAATTTGAAATAAGGGGTACAAAAATTGAAAGTCTTTACCACTCTATTTTCTCATTCTCTTTAAAATTCTTCATCAACCTACTTCAAAAAAAAATGTGTTAAACTCTGCTGATGTTTCTCCTCCGAGATGACTCTAAGCAGATTGATTGCCTTCTGGAAACAGAAACCAAGGGAACTGGGATGGTGTGAAGAGGCCTGTGTTAGGCCTTGTGGGAGATACAGGGGAAAGGAAGGGAATAAGTGTTTGTTCAATACCTACGAAAAGTTGGCACTATGTTCTAAGCGCTTTACAAATAGCATCTCACTTGATCCTCACAACTCTGGGAGGTAGGTGCTATTATCATCCCTATTTTACAGTTGAGGAAATTGAGGCAAACAGAGGTTTAAATGACAGGGTCACATAGCTAGTAAGTGTCTGATGCCAGATTTGAACTACAGAAGTACAAAATATGTTCCCTGCTGCTGAAGACCTTTTGATCTAGTTAGAAAGACATGGGTCAGCTAGGTGGTGTAGTGGATAGAGCTCCAGCCTTGGAGTCAAGAGGACCTGAGTTCAAATTTGACCTCAGACGCTTGACACTTATTAGCTGTGTGACCCTGGGCAAGTCACTTAACCCCAATTGCCTCACCAAAAAGAAAAAAAAAAGAAAGACAAACAACACACAGAATTAGGTGCTGACTAGCAGTATAGGAGGATTTCAGAGAAGGACCACAGGATCATGGAGGTTGAGCTAGAAGCGATCCCTTCGTTCAGCTCCCCTTATTTTACAGAGGAGGAGGCTGAGGCTTAACAAGAGGGAGCTTCATATGAGCTAAATTAGTCTGAAAAGACCTCTTGAGGAGGTGGGACTGGTGCTGTGAGGGTAGGACTGAGACTCCTAAATAGCGGAAGGAGGGTTTTCCAGGCATGAGAAACTGTACCAGCACAAAGAAGGGAATAAACATGGCACGTGCAGGGAAGGATGAGGAGACTGACCTGCTTGGGGCAGGGTGCCAGCCTGTGTCATGGAGCTATGGGTTTGAGTCCAGACCCAAACTCTTGATGAGAGAATCACCTTGATGAGAGAAACACACATCAACAACTGCTCTAAAACTAGTCTTAGAGAGTTGCTTGGGGAATTGAAAAGTTAAATGATGCGTCTGGTGTCACATAATCAGTACCTGTCAGAGACAAGGCACAAACCGAGGTCTTTCTTCTTGGAGGTATTCAGGTGTCACAATGGATAGCTCTGGGCCTGGAGTCAGTAAGACCTGAGTTGAAATCCTACCCCAGATATGTCTTAGCTGTGTCACCCTGGACAAGTCACTTAACTTGTCTCTTTCAGTTTCCTCGACTGTCAAATGGGGATAATAACAGCACCTACCTCCCAGGGTTATTGTGAGGATAAGATAAATTAATATTTATAAAGTACTTAGTACAGTGCCTGGTACATAGTAGGCACTGAATAAATGCTTATTTCATTTCTGACTCTGAGGTTGGCTCTCTAACCATTACTCTATGCTATGCTGCCTCTATGTTTCGAAGTAGTAGTAGTTAAGAATGAACACGTAGATGTGGTTGGGATCACGCCTTGTTTTCTGCTACCTGAAGCTAAGGATTAATTTGTACTCTGCAACAGTTTAGTGAGAAAATCATAAGGACTTTGGGCTCACCTGTACTTAACAGATGTGTTCGTTGTTCTTAGAAACACCATACGCTGTTTTTTTTTAGTGAGAACAATCCTTGTATCAAGCACTATCACATCAAAGAGACCAATGACCATCCCAAACGGTACTACGTGGCAGAAAAATTTGTGTTTGATTCCATTCCCAACCTGATCAAATATCACCAGCACAATGGAGGAGGTGAGTCTTGGAGGGCAGGCTCAGAGAGGGATGGTTTACATAGAGAATCTCAGCAAAAAGTGGTGAAGAATAAGCTGAAAGTCAAGAAAGCAGGCAGATCCTTGAGCCTACTATGTGACATCACTGGGGCTGTTCTGATTTTAAAAACCATGACCTTGATGGAGAGGTGACTTGTCACCAAACATCAGCACCTCCCAACCAGGGCCTGTATGAACATTTACGCATTTTTTTCTACTTGTTTTTCAAAATGAAAAGGAATTTCCGCACCAAAGAAGACTCCCTAATTTTAATCTGAAACCTCCTTGTGACAGAATGATCACCCTAGCCACTCTCTTTTCTTCTGTATGCAGGTCTTGTTACACGTTTACGGTACCCCGTTTGTTCCTGGAGAAAAAAGGCCCCTATCACAGCTGGGTTAAGATATGGTAAGTGATTTGTGTTGAGATGCCATTTCTATGCTGGGTCAGTAATTGAAACACCATTCTTACATGCTAGATGTAGATAATGCTTATTCCAGAATTCCCTGTAACTAAAATTGGCTTTCAACGTAAAGGTTTAGGACAAGATTGAAATGCACTTGGAGTGTGCATGGAATTTGCATGTATATGTAGGCATGTCTAAAGCATCTGGGTGGATTATAGATATATGTGTAAATGAACATATACATAAGTAGCACAGGTCACTATTTGTTTGAATTAACAATGCATCTGTTCAACATTTATCCAATACCTAATATACAGACAGTCAGTCAACAGGTATATTTTTGTATTTTTTAAATATTTTATTTTTTACAATTACACGTAAAAACCATTTTTGACATTCTTTTTAAAATATGTTTTGCGTGTCTGCATATGTATAACCTACATCAAATTGCTTATCTTCTCAATGAGAGAGGAAGGGAGGGAGGGAGAGAGAGAATTTGGAACTCAAAGTTTTAAAAAACAAACGTTAAAAATTGTTCTTACATGTAATTGGAGAAAAAATAAAATATTAAATAGGCATTCTTTTTTTTTATTTTGGGTTCCAAATTCTCTCTCTTCCTCCCTCCCTGAGAAGGCAAGCAATTTTATATAGTCTAAACATGTGCAGTCATATAAAACTATTACTAAATTAGCCATTCAGTAAGTACATAATGTGTGGTAAGTTCTGGGAATATAAATAACATGTAGAAAGAAAGACAGTTCCAGCCCTCAAGGAGCTTGCCTTCTAATGAGGGAAGACAGCACATAAAAGGAAGATGAGAAGTGCTTGTGTAGAGACAACAAAAGTCCCCAGAGCAGAGACACGTAGAGGAAGTCTGGAGTGCAGTCTAGAGAGGAATAGGACAGGGTTCCCCTGGCCGCTAGCTCTCCTTAAATGGAGGTTCTAGAAAGAGGCTACAGAGGCAAAGGGTATTTATAATGTGTGGATTCCCAGGCTGGAGTGAAGCTTCAGATTGAGGAGCTAGGGCATGGTAGACTAGGTCTCGAGTATAGACTGGAGAAGAATGAGAAATGTCCCACAGAGCACAGATGATAGAAACAGAAGACATAGACCCTCTTCTCAAGGAGCTCAGCCTAGGTATTTCTAGGTATTATATGAAGGACCCTTCACCCCAGCCTCTCTCCAAGGTTAGTTTCATCATGTTCTGCAGGGGAACCTGGGTTCTTTCAAAGACTGTACTACCAGAAGACCCAGGTCCTATCACAATGGAAAAGTTTTAAATGTAGCCCCCTTGATAGATTCTGTACCTACCACTGGAGGGCCAGCCTAGCTAAGGTATGAAAAGGTTCCTCCAAAGAGGCTGGCCACCAGGCAATGATTTTTTAAATTAGTAGATAAAAATCACCTAATCAGGTATGGAAAGTCAATAATAGTCCATTTAGAGCAGCTACGTCATAAGGTGAATAGAGCACTGGATTTGGAGTTAAGAAGACCTGAGTTTAAATCTGGTCTCAGACACTTACAAGCTATGTGACCCTAGGCAAATCAAGTCACCTTGTCTGCCTCAGTTTCCTCAGCATTATTTTTCTATTTTATTTCCTTATTTATTTATTTTTGTGAGGCAATTGGGGTTAAGTGACTTGCCCTGAGTCACACAGCTAGTCAGTGTTATGTGTCTGAGGGTGGATTTGAACTCAGGTCCTCCTGACTCCAGGGCTGGTGCTCTATCCACTGTGCCACCTAGCTTCTCTCTCCTCAGCTTTAAAATGGGGATAATAATAGCATCTACCTCCAAGGGTTGTTGTGAGGGTAATATGAGGTAATATTTGTAAAATGCTTTGCAAACTTTAAAGGGTTATAAAATTACTAGCTACTATTATTATTGAGTGATTTGGGAGTAAGTCATTTAATTTATCTAGGCCTCAGATGCCTCATCTGAAAGCTAAGAGAGTTAGACTTCTATCGAAGGGTTTCTTCTAGATCTCAATCCTGTGGTTTTACAAATATGGTACAAGTGGTAGTTTCTATGACAAAGTTCCACATGGAGCCTGATTGTAATAAAAATAATCTGTGTTAAAAGTACCAAACCATTTTTGCTTCATAATAATATAAATACATATTTATAATAGAATAATATAACATAAGAATTATATTATCATTATATATTATCATAATGTGTAATAATATATAACATGTTTATAATAAATATATATGAATAATATAATGATATTTTGGCATTAAAAAAATAATATGTGCTTCGAAAAATCACCTTAGATCTCACTCCTCCCTGACATCAACTCTCTAGTTTCCCATTTCCCTGAACATGCCATTTGTACCTGTGATTCTGAAGCTTATTTGTGCAATGTCCACCCTCTTCCATCTTGTGTATACAGATCTTAGCTGCCTTCAAGCCCTCCTTTGCTAATAATCTCTGTCTGCTCCCTAAAACCAGGCTTCCATCTAAGGTCCTCTGACTCCAAACTCAGCATTCTCTCCCTATACCACATTGCTTCCTGTCTTTCCAATTGTACTGTGAGTTCTTGAGGACAAAAATTGTGCCTTACATTTCTTGTTATCCTCACAGCATCAAGAAAAATCCTGAAAACGTGTCAGATATTCATCAAATGTTTATTGAATGGGTGTCAATGAATGAACCAAAAATGATTGTATTGAGCATTATCTATTATGAAAACTGCTATTTCAGTACCCAAATAGACACTATACCATATTGTTGGGGTCTTATTAGAATATTTTAAGTTACATTTTTTTCAAAGTACCTTGATTGATACTTCCTTCCATGCCCCTACTCCACATTTGTCTAAGGTTTCATAATATGAGGGGAGAAAAGGACTTAAGCCCTTTCCCATCTCTTGAGTTAGCAATAACAATTACCAAAAAAAGATTTATTACTGCTATCTCTTGACAGATGAGAAGTAAAAAACAGAAGTTAACTGAGCATTGAAATCTTCCCTCTCTCTTCTTCCTCTGCCTCCTACAGGCAAATGGGTGATCAAACCCTCAGAACTCACTTTTGTGCAGGAGATTGGCAGTGGGCAGTTTGGCCTGGTGCATCTTGGCTACTGGATGGGGAAGAACAAGGTTGCCATCAAGACCATTCAGGAAGGGGCCATGTCAGAAGAGGATTTCATAGAGGAGGCTGAAGTCATGATGTAAGTAACCAGTGCTAGGGTGGATAACACACTGAAATGACCTGCTCTGGGGTCGGTCCTTCAGTGGAGGGGGTCCAAGTGGGGCACAGAAGGGACACATAGTCTGACCAACAGCACCAGGTCAGAAAATTTGAGTCTAGGTTTTAAAAAAAAGATTTTTTTAGACACAGTGCTCAAGATATTGTTGGTTTGGTTGTTAAGTCTTTTTGCCTGTTTAATCTAACCCTGTGATTTTGTTGGTAAGCGAACCCTCCTAGTGTGGAAATTCACTCTCCAGTGCAGATCTCCAATTCAGCTTAGGGCCTTGGAAAGTTGATTGGGAGCACTGAGAGAGGAACTTGCCCATGGTCACACAGTTAGTGTGTGTCAGAAGCTAGCTTTGGACCTAGGTCTTCTTGACCATCCAACTCCGTTGGGAGTGGGGAGAAAATCAGTCTAACAGATCATTTTATAGTGTCTTTCCAAAACAGCCAGTTAGATGCTGTGCTGTTACACAAACAAAGCCTCAAGTTTTTCAGAGCATGAGATTGCCCTTGGAAAGATACACAGGACATTCAATACTACATACACAGTACAGTGGAGCTTTCCTGCTTCTTTGTCAGCGGAATTACATGTTACTTCTAAAAGGATTCATAAAGCCTCCAAATTAAGAGGGATCTCAGAGGTCATTTGGTGTGAACCATGCCTGATGCATAAATCCCTTCTCCAAGACAACATGGCAAGCAGACAGTTTCAGAAAGCTTTATGGAAGTTTTATTTCATATAACGATCATAGTGTGGAGAGCTGGAGGGAACCGTAGAGATCACCTCATTGTTCAAACCCCTCATTTTACAGGTGAGGAAACTGAGGCTCAGAAGAGGGATTTACCCAAAGTCACCCAGAGGCTAAGTTGCAAAACCCAGAACCATGCTGGCTATCTTCTGCTTGAACATCCCCCAGCGATGGGAAACTCACTGCCTCCTATTCAGTTTTGGGAATCAATGATTGTTAGAAAGTTTTCCCTCATATTGAGCCAAAACCTGATTCCCTGTATCTTTCCTGTTGCCCCTCCCCCATTCTCTAGTAACTCAAATATATGGTAGATGGGGACCCACTCCAAACATATAACCTAAAGCTGGACCAATTTGGGATGAGGGATTTTCCTGGGGAAAGAAGGAAAGGGATAAGGGAGAGGGACTTGATTTGATCATCTATGTAAGCAAGCAGCATCACAGTCCCACCACTGGGGGAAGTTTAAAAGGAAGAAAAGCAATACTCTAGGGTCAAGCCAAAAACATCTAATCCTTTCCCTGTATGACAACCCTTCAAATATTTGGAGACATTTATCACTGTTATATGTCCTACTCTAACCCCTACTGGGCAAGTCTTCCTATGACACGATCTCCAGTACTCTGCTGGCTACCCTATTCGGTATACTGTGCAGATTTTCAGCGTCCTTCCTAAAATGTGGCATCTAATATTGAATATAATACTCCTGTTCCCTAGCTAGGAGAGTACAGTGGGCCACCTCTGACCTACCTCCTGCCTTATTCTGGATCCCAGACTTTTATTAATTCAGCTAAATGTACCACATGGGATAGTGGACAGAGGGCCAGCCTTGGAGTCAAGAAGTGACTGTTCATTTTTCAGTCATGTCCAACTCTTCTTATCCCCTTTTAGAGTTTTCTTGGCACATACATGAAGTGGTTTGCCATTTTTTTTTCTCCAGCTCATTTTACAGATGAGGAAACTGAGGCAAACAAGGTGAAGTGACTTGCCCAGGATTACACAGTCAGTAAGTATCTGAGGCCAGATTTGAACTCAGGAAGAGTCTTCCTGACTCTAGGCCCAGCAGTCTATCCACTGTGCCACCTAGCTGCTGGAGTCAGGAAGACATGGGTTTAAGTCTTGCTTCTTACTCATATGAGCTGTGTGGTCCTGGGTGAGTCCACTTAAAACTCTCGGTATTTCAAGGAGCTTTCCAAGATATTAAGTTACAGATTTATTTACTGATCTGCATGGGGGAGGGAGTTTCCATATGAACAGATCCCTGCATTGATGAATCACAGATCAAGACATTCTCTCCCTCTCCCTGAAACTACCCTAGCAAAAGACAATGCATACAGTGATACACCTTGGGATTTGTCGAAGGTAGTATTGTTTTGTCTTAGTATGGGGTGGGACACAAATACATATATATATATATATATGTGTACATATATACACACATATATATGTGTGTGTGTTTGTGTGTGTGTATAAAACACATATATACATATACACACACGCAAACTCAGTTGGGTACAGAAATCTATCTTACCCAAAAGGGAAATAGGAGGGGAAGGGGATAAGAGAAAAGGGGGCATTGATAAGAGTAGGTGGATTAAGGGAGGCAGTGGTCAAAAACAAAATAGACTTTTGAGGAAGGATGAGTTAAAGAGAGGTGGGGGAGGGAGAAAAGAAGGAGGAGGAGGAAGAAGAGGAGGAGAAGGAGGAGGATAAAGAGAGAGAGAGAGAGAGAAAGAAAATAGAATGGAGGGAAATACATAGTAATCATAACTGTGAATGTGAATGGGATGAAATCACCCATAAAACAGAAGTGGATAGCAGAATGGATTAGAAAACAGAATCCAACAATATGTTGTTTACAAGAAACAGACTTGAAATAGAAAGACACACACAGAGAATTAAAATAGGGATTGGAGCAGAATCTATTATGCTTCAGCTGAAGTAAAAATGCAGGGGTAACAATCATGATCTCAGGCAAAGCAAAAGCAAAAATCGGCCTAATTAAAAGAGATAATCAGGGAAACTACATCCTGCTAAAAGGTACCATAAATAATGAAGTGATATCAATACTAAACATACATGTACCTAACAGCATAGCATCAGAATTCTTAAAGGAATAGTTAAATGAGTTATAGGAGGAAATAGACAGTAAAACTATACTAGTGGGGGATCTCAACTTTCCCCTTTCAGAACTAGATAAATCTAACCATAAAACAAATATGAAAGAAATTAAGGAGATGAATAGAATTTTAGAAAAGTTAAATATGATAGACCTCTGAAAAAAATTGAATTTTTCTCAGCTGTACATAACACCTTCACAAAAACTGACCATGTATTAATTTCACAAACACATGCAGAAGAGCAGAAATATTCAATGCATCCTTTTCAGGATAATGCAATAAAAAATTACATTCAATAAAGGGCCTTGGAAGCATAGATTAAAATTAATTATCATATATAATTATGTACTTATTAATTAATATAAAATATAAATGTATAATATAATTATTATATTTTATCATGTGTTATATATTATTTATTTATTATATATAATTATTATTATAAAAATAAACAATCTAATCCTAAAGGATGAATAGATCAAAGAACAAATCATAGAAACAATAATTTCATTAACTATAATGACAACAATGAGATAACTTGCCAAAATTTGTTGAATGCAGCCAAAGCAGTACTTAGGTGAAAAAATATATATCTAAACACTTACACCAATGAAAAAGAGAAAGAGCAGATGAATGAATTGGGTGTACAACTAAAACAAAAAAAAGAATAAATTAAAAATCTCTAATTTAAATACCAAAATAGAAATTCTGAAAATCAGAGGAAAGATTAATAAAATTGGAAGTATGGAATGGGACAAACAGGAGAACATGTTGCTGTGCACTGTCTCAAACTCATCCCTAGGACAGTGATGCTCTGTGTTTACTTGGCTAATTGAGTCCTTATCTCTCATCCTTTTTCTTCTTCCCCCAGGAAACTCTCTCATCCTAAACTGGTCCAGCTCTACGGAGTCTGTGTGGAGCAGGCCCCTATTTGCCTGGTGTTTGAATTCATGGAGCACGGCTGCCTGTCCGATTACCTCCGGAACCAACGGGGGCTCTTTTCTGCAGAGAGTCTCCTGGGCATGTGCCAGGATGTGTGTGAGGGGATGGCTTACTTGGAAGAAGCTTGTGTCATTCACAGAGACCTGGTAAGTTATTACTGAAGCCAACCGGCCAACCCAAAGATGGAAATCAATGCCTCTGGCATTCAGCCTTGGTCAAAGCGGCATATATTTCTGCAATGAGCAGCCAAGTGGTCTCACGGTTGGGCAGCTGTTTAAGTAAATGGCATTCATGTAGTACTTGAAGGTTTGCAAAAATGCTTTACAAACATCCTCTCATTTGACCCTTCCTAACAACCTTAGGAAGTAGCTGATATTATTATCTCCATTTTACAGATAGGGAAACTGAGACACAGGGGCAAAGTGACTTGCCAGGGTCACATGGCTAGGAAATGTTTGAGGCCAGATTTGAACTCAGGTCTTCCTAGCTCACTAACCACTGTCCCAACTGCCCAGCTACCTATCATAGATAAGAGATAACAGAATGGCTGAGCTGGAGTGCAGGATAATGAGGAAAATCCCTTCCCCTCTCCTCCTTTTCTGAAAATGAAGGGATTGAATTAGATATAGTTTTTTTAAATAACATTTTTTGGAGAGCAATTGGGTTAAGTGACTTGCCCAGGGTCTCACAGCTAGTAAGTGTCTGAGGCTAGATTTGAACTCAGGTCCTCCTGACTCCAGGGTCAGCACTCTATCCACTGTGCCACCTAGCTTCTCCTAGACATGATCTTAATGACCCCTTCTCGCTCTAAAATTCTGTACCCACTGATAAGAGAACAAAACTCACTCACCTGATTAGTGGCAGAGCAGTCAGAACTTGACCCCAGGACTTTCTGACTCCGAGTCCACCTTTGCACCCCATTATCTCTTCTGATTGAGAGATGTTTTCAGTTTAATTATTCAAGAAATGAGAGGCAATTCTCATGAAGTAGAAGAGAGAAGGCCAACTTTGACATCGAAAAGACCTGGGGTTCAAGTCCTGCTTCTGACACAGTCCAGCTGTGTGACCTTGAGTATGTAATCTGACTTCTCAATATCCCCACCTCCCCAACCCCTCTCCAAGTTACAGAGGAGCTGCTAATCTTCATTGTCAAAGGGGGCTTCCATACTGCTCCCCCACCGCCACAACACAAACAAATCATTTATTGAGCAACTGCTATGGACAAAACACTTTTCTTATTTCTGGTGACTGTGGCAAGAGGAGAAGATGTAAAGACAAATGAATTATAGACCCAGGTCTCTGGACACTTAGAATATAGTTGGGAAGATGAGGGGTATACAAAATAGAGGGCAGCTAGATGGCATATTGGATAGAGCACTGACCTAGAATCAGGAGGACCTGAACTCAGAAACTCACCAGCTGTGTGACCCTGGGCAAGTTATTTAACCTTTGTTGGCCTCAGTTTCCTCAACTGTAAAATGGGAATAATAAGAGCACCTCCCTCCCAGGGTTTTTGTGAGGATCAAATGAAATATTTGCAAAGCACAGTGCCTAGCACACAGTAAGTGTCATATAAATGTTAGCTATAATAATAGCTATTGTAATTCCTATTAATTACAATACAAATCTGAAGGCAGTCAGTATATAAAAGGAGCAGTACTAATTGCTCCAAGAGATCTAAGGAAGGAGAGATGATTTATCTGGTCCCTGATGCTATAATTTCCTCTCATACCAGACTGCATCAGTCAGAGCTCATCCCTGGTAATGAGATCGCTGCAGATTTCTCATAATGGGGATCTCAGGCAGGACCTATTGCAGCAAACCCAGGCAGCCTGAGAGCTGGATACCTTCTAACTAACATCCAGCGGGGGTGTTGGGAGGCTTAATTAATGTTTGTAAAGCTCCCTTGATGTCCTTGCACAACAAATAACACAGGCAAAATACTATGATTATAAGAGACTCTTTAATTACTGATTACTTGCCAACCATTTCCCTTTCCTTCTGCCTCGACTCCAGGCCGCCCGGAACTGTTTGGTGGGAGAAAACCAGGTCATCAAAGTGTCAGACTTTGGCATGACAAGGTAACCAACCAGCCCATGTGGTGCTGGCCTGACTTCGGGGGGATGCGTCTCCTCTGAAGATGGCTTTCTGAGCTCCATTCTCTTTTCTAGGTTTGTTCTCGATGACCAATATACGAGCTCCACCGGTACAAAGTTCCCCGTGAAGTGGGCCTCCCCAGAAGTTTTCTCTTTCAGTCGTTACAGTAGCAAATCTGATGTGTGGTCTTTTGGTAAGTTTCTGTGCAGCTTCCCCACTGACCTACTGTGTGACCTTGGGCAAGTTGTGTCTCTGTGGGCCTTAGGTTCCTCAACTGTAAAAAAAAAAATTCACCCTAATAGGTTGAAGCAGGTTACCTCCAAAGCCCTCCGCAACTCTAATTGTCTGTGTTTCTTATTTATGTTCCTTTAAATGCTTGTGAATAATAGATGAGGAGCTTTTTTTAGATGAGCCCTCCTCAGGGAAGTTTTCTTGACAATTCAACACACTAATACATTACTGTTTATTGGACACTAACCATGTGCCTAGCACTGGGTACCTACTGTGGGGAATATGAGGAAAATAGAAGACAATCTCTCAATGATTTCCTTCATGACTTGCTCTAGATGAAAAATCCATCGCCAATATAACAAACCCTTGGAGTTGGAAGGAACCTCAGTGGTCTAGATGTAGCCCAGTATCTTCTTGAATGAGAATCTCCTCCACTCTATTTGTGATAGCGTAGTGTAACACATAGAGCAAAAGACTTAGAGTCCAGGAAGTCTTGGTTCAAATCCCGCCCCAGATACTTACTAGCTATTTGACCTTAAGCAAGTTGCTTTACATCTCTAAGCCCTAGCTTCCTCACCTGTAAAATGGACTCTGAGATATCTTCCAGCTCTAAACCTTTAAACCCATGATGAGTAGTTAGCCACCCTTTCCTCGAAAATCTGCAGGGAAAGGGAACCCAACCCTCTAAAGAGAGCCAGTTATGCTTTGGGAGCTGACCTGGTGCTGGGTGGTTCAATGTATAGGGAGCTGAACTTGGAGTCAGGAAGACCTGGGTTCAGATATGACTTCAGACATTTACTAGGTGTGTGACCTTGGGCAAGTCTCTGTTATCGTTATACTCTGTGATCTCTATTGGTAGATAAGATGAGATAAAGATGAGATCATAGTTCCTTGAAGTAAAGAGAGGGGATATGTCTCCTATTTGCCTCGTATTTTCCATAGTAACCTTAATTTCTTTATCCTAAAGTGGGTTCATCCACCTTTGGTGTTCACCTACCACCCAACTCTCACCTATGGCTCCAAGAAGCCATAGCATGTGCAGTGGCCACACCCCAGTAAAACCATCTTGGCAGATGGGTTAAACCAGGATGAGGGTAACCACCAGGCCTCAAAACCATCAGTGAGTTAGGGGGATATCTAACCCAAGCATGTGAAGACTTCTCCCAGTGGAACGGGCAGATAAGAACAATTTGTTCTAACAGCCACGAAGTTGGCTGAAGTAGACTGCTTAGAGCTTGGTCAGGCATTGAAGATGCCAATGTTATCCACTGCATCCCAGGCTGTCATCAGTCATCTTGACTTTTGTCCTGCCTTTGGACAGAGAGAGAGTGAGGTTGGTGACTTGGCATAACTCTGCCTCACTTAAATCCAATTCACAAGCAAGTCAAGACATCACCCAAGCAAGACACTGATCCTCTTCAAAAATGAAGGATAAACAACAAAGTGAGGGGTAATAATAGCACCTACTTTATACAGTTGGTGTGAGGATCAAATTAATTAGTATATGTAAAACAAACCATAGAAACGTTACCTTTGTTGTCATGAACTTTCCCAAACTTAACTACACTGATCCTCAGATGACAAACATACACTCTGACACCAAGGCCAGAATCAAAGCCTTTGTAGTCTGGAAGGATTATGCCCCTCTAGCACTGCCTTTGAGAACCCAGCATCACAATCAGGTCATAGGGACATATCAGATTGGGATTCAGTGGAGGGACTCCTCCTAAAAGAACAAGAGTATAATTTTGTTTCAAGAGATGACATATAGCACAGAGGAATAACAAAATGTTAAGTGTTCATTTATATGATGTAGGCAGTGTCACCTGCATTCATATAAGAGAGAGGTCAGTGTAGTAGAAATCCTTCTCTTCTCATATTGGAGTGCCAGGTTGGCTGTCTGTGCCATTAGATGATGATGATAGGGATTATTGGGGGAAGAGGGGTCTCTGTCCCTTTACCACTGCTCTCCTTTGGTGACCCATCTGTTCTAGTCATTGTTTTGTCATATATCCAGCCCAAGTTTCATGGCATTGAGACACATGGTGTCTCTAGATTCTGGTGCCTTCTTGTCCTTCGATTCAAACCTGACCAGGTGAAGTTCTTTTCACCTGGTAGTTACAAGGTTTCTCAGTGCCTCCCAAATGCATGATCTCTGCCTCCAGACTCTTCCCCTCTCAAATCAATCCTACGCTCCGCTGCCAGATTAATCTTTTTAAAACACTACTGTGCACATGTCACCACCCAGGTCAAAAACTTTTAGCAGCTCCCCATTACCTCCAGAGCTACCCCCTTAGCCTTGAAGTCAAGGTCCACCAATATGGCTCCAATCTTCCTCCCCATCATTTTCTCCTACTCATGCTTTATACAACACCTGCACTGTCATCATACCTTTCTATTGAATGGTCCCTGAATCCTTCCCATTTCTAAATCTTTGCTCATAATACTCCCTTTGCCTGAAGTACCTCCCTCCTCCACCCCTCTCTCTTCATGTCTAAGTTTTAGCCTTGAACCCAGCTCAAGTTATGGCATCTCACTTTTGGTGCTGGATGTTCACTTTGCCCTCTGACCTTTGCAATACTTATTATCTATACCATAAACAGACCCAGGGGCCAGAATTGACCCATGGACTATAGTTTGCCAACCATGGACTATAGTTAGCCATGGACTATAGTTTACCATTCATGTGCTACTTAGAATCGTAGATTTAGAGCTGGAAGTAACTTTTAAAGGTCTAATTTACAGGTGGGCTAACTGAGGACCAGAGAAGTTACACTGTCATATAGTTAGTAAGTGAATTAGGATTATAAGGTAGATTCTCTGATTTCTACATCCTTTGATTACAAATCTAGCACTTTCCTCATTAGCTGTCTCTACCTAATTACCTTGTATTATATATGTATATATTATATATAAAAATACATATATATGCATACACACACTTATATGTGTATATACACATAATATATATCTGCATATACATATATATCTCCTATTTTCCCAACTCCATGTAATAGTCTGGAGTGCAAGAAGAAGATCTTCTTTTCTTTTGATCTCTAATAGTAAGTAATCAATAAATATGTCAGTGATATGCCACCTATTTGCATGATACTTACTCTTCTATTATATCAAAAAGACAGCATTAGGATAGTTTCACCAACCTAGATAACCTTAGAGGGTCAGGGCCATGTCTAAGCTCAAACATCTGCAATTTGCAGAGGATTTGAAGAAAAGATCAGATAATAGAAGGAACAACAAGAAAATGATCAGAGGCAATAGGTTTATCAATTTGGAGCTGGAAGACACCTTAAAAGATGATTAAGTCCAATTCCCCCCATTTTTCAGATGAGGAAACAGAGGTCCAGAGAGGCTAAGTGATTTCTCCAATGTTACAGAGGAATTAAGTGGCAAAGTTGGGATTTGAACTCAGTCCCTGTGACTCCAAATTCAGCATCTTTTCCATCATAACAGGCTGGCTAGGCCTAAGAGACAGTATGATGCAGTTTAGAAAAAAAAAGGCACTATACTTACTCTGATCCAGGAAACCTAGTTTGAATCTCACTTCTGACCCTTATCTGCCATATAGTCATGGTCAAGTCACTTACCCTCTCCAAACCTGTTTCCACATCTGTAAAATAAGTGAAATACAAAAAAAAATGATCTTTACAATATCTTCCTAACAAAGCTAGTGTGACCTGAAGTACTATACAAAAGGGCAATCACAGCATTATCATAAGGGAAGAAAGGTTAAGAGAATTGGGGCCAGGAGGGGACACGGGCCGAAATGCAGGCTACTTCCAAATGCTTTTCTTCAAATCAATGAAACATCATCAAACATGCAACCCTAAAAGAAAAAAAAGTTTAATTGATGCTTTTTGCCTTTATATCACATTTATTTCTGAATACACTGCTCTATTCTGAACCCCTATTCATCAAGTCTCTTCTAGTAACAAATATTTTTTTAACATAGTTTAATCAAAATGACCAACACATCAGCTAGGTCTGAAAGCATCTATAACGTTCCACACCCCACAGGTCTCCACCTCTTCAATGAAAGGATGAAGGTGAACTTTTCTCACCTTAAAACATGCTCCATTTATGTGGATTGAAAAAAATGAGCTTCAATCCTAGCAGGAGCTACTGTGATTAGACATGAGGAAGGACATCCTAGGAGACAATAAGTCCTGGGTCTTTGTTAAAAGTCAGATTAATCAGTTCAAGCTGGCAGAAGCCCAGATTGTGTGATTTTTATGTCTTTTTGGTGGATATTATTAGTGTTTTGTTTTGGAGACAGTCTCCCTATGTCTCTTGGGCTTTAAGTGCAGCAGTTAGTTACTCCTGGGCTCACTCCATTGCAATATTGATTGGCCTGGAATCTTTGTCTTGATCCATTTCACCCCTCCTTAGGCAACCTGGGGGGCCTTTTGCTCCTGGGGGCTCACTATGATGGTTCTAAGTAAGACACTTGATCAGCTTTGGCCTCACTGCTGCTCAGAACCCTCAAGCTGCCCACCAGCCCCAACCTCTCCAGTAGTAAGGATTATAAGCATCTGCTTGGTTGTTATTGTTAATAACAATATTCTTGTCCCTTTATGCAGGAGTCCTAATGTGGGAAGTCTTCAGCGAGGGCAAAATCCCTTATGAAAACAGTAGCAACACCAAGGTGGTGGAAGATATCAGCACTGGATACCGGTTGTATAAACCTAGACTATCCTCCCCTCTCATCTACCAGATCATGAATGATTGCTGGAAAGAGGTCAGTATAAGAGGATCCTCCATCATCAACCCCTTGTCATTTTGTAGTTCTTTCCTAGAAAAAGTACCTTCATTTGAAGGAATGAGATAACAAAGGGGACTGGGTGATACCAAATTTGAGCAGGAAACTCACTCCCTGATTGGGAGTGAGGTGGTAGTTCAGAGCATGGGAAAGGAATAGTAGATATAGATGACTGATGTCAATTGATTGGGCACCTGTCATTGGCATACCAGTTGAAATAAATTCAGAAGGGGTCGTCACTAGACTGACTTTAGGATCTTCAGTTTTTTTTGGCCACATGAGTTTGTAGAGACCCTAGGCATTGAGTAGCTGTGATCTGCCACAGTGGAGGAGGCCCCATCATGATAAAATTACAAATCCTTGAAAATTTGAAATATCTATCACACATGCATGTATGTAGCAATCAAACATTTATTAAATGCCTACCATGTGCCAGGCTCTGTGCTAAGTGCTAATGATACTAATACATACAAAGAGTGAAACAAAGAGTGAAACTCAAGGAATTTACATTCTAATAGAGGAGACATAGAAACATATATAAGTAAATTAAATACAAAGTAATGAAATACTAGATAGTTTGAAAAGGAAGGTCTTTCTCTCTTTCTCTTCTTTCTCTCTCTCTCCCTCCCTCCCTCTTTCCCTCCATTACTCTGAATGCATAGAATGTGGTTAGTTGAATTTTCTGATTAATTTGAATTTCCTTTTTTTGCTTTAGCCCTCACTTTTGTAAATCTTTCTAAAAGGTCTGAGTTGACTTTTCTGCCATAGTAGTGTAGAATAGATGCAAAATATAAGAAACGAATCTTTTTTTTCTGATAGAAAATCTTTCAGAATCTGTTCGTTATTACTTTGAATACTGAGGATTACTGTAGGCACTAAGGATGCAGACACAGCATTTCTAACTTATTTGGCTAAATAACTACTGACCTCAAGAATTTGTTGTTGTTTTAAAAGTAAACCTCTAGTGCTAGTTTCTTTCCTTTAAATCAATTCAGTTCAATTAAATAAACATTTATGAAGCACCTACTATGTACCAGGCATTACACCAAGTGCTAGTGATACAAATAAAAAGATAGTCCTTGCCCTCAAGGAGCTTACAATCTAACAGAGGAAGACATTACACATAAGGAGGCAGGAAGGGGAAGGGGGGTGGGCAGGGTCACCAGGAGCATCTTATTTTATGGATTTAAAACCAGGAAGAGCAGCAACGTAAAGTGCCCTCTATAAAGGAAGGCATTGAGAGGAGTTTGGTGCTCCACTCTTGAGCCTTCCCAGCAGAGGGAAGAGGAGACTGAGGGAGGTGGTGTCCAAGGCTTGAAGCAGCAGCATGGTGATAGATCAGAAGTGATGAGTTTATCATAGGAAGAACATCTTGTTCTGTGGAGATGAAACCAAGCAGAGCAGTAGATGATGCTGGAATGTGGAAAAAGTAGAGGGAATAGAGAGGAAGAGACTCCAATTAATTATAGGTTCAAAAAAGTTAAATTATGATCGAGGGGCTTTTACGTACATACACACACATTCCTTGTTTATTTGTAATGGTTGAGAGCACGCTGGCAAATTGTGACTTGAACTGATACGAGATGAGAAACATTGCCTTAGGGCTGTCGGATTTGTCCCCTGGGAAGATTCACACTACTGTGCTTTCCTCCCTCTCTCTAGAAACCAGAAGACAGACCATCTTTCGCTAGCCTGCTGTGTCAGCTGGCTGAAATCGCTGAATCTGCACTTTAAGCCAGGGTCTCTGGGGACTGCTGAATCCGAGCTCCAACCAGGGGTCTCTGTGGCTCCGTGGGCAGCAAGCGTCTAAGTGGGGATGGGGAATTCCTACTTCCACATAGCATTAAGGACAGCCTCCATCCCAATCCTTTCTAAAGGCCATGAGACCTGGGTGAGCCAAGCCCCAAAGCTGCTAAGGAAGCAGTGATTTGAAAGTTGCCTGGAGAATAGGGGGAGCCAGACTGGAATCCAGAAAAGGTGGCAAAGGGCATTACTATCCTGAAGCCCACTACTCGACTAACCTCACGCACAGAGGTTGAGACTCAATCCGGAAGCTTTTTGTGGGATATCTCTTGATTATGAAACTGGGGGGTAGGGGAGTGAAGTTGCACTCTAACGCTATGGACTGACCTTTCCTTAGACTCAACAGCTCCACGTCGCAGAATTTTCAAAGGCTTCCAGGCCCACATGCTTTGCAGCAGGCCAAGCATGCAGTTTCCTACCCGCCCCCACAAGGAAACAGGGAGCTGCATCAGCTGTGCCAGCTATATTGACCAAACAATGTGGACCACAGCTTCCTGCCCATATGCAGGGGAGGTTGAAACAACTCCATGGCACTGATGGGCTCTGTAGCAGCTGGCTGGAGTTGCAGCTAGCCGCACTGGCACCTGTCTGCTCAGAGGAGATGGTGTGGGGCTGCCGCCTCTCCTACTGAGCAGGGGAAGAAACTGTTCATTTAAAAATTGGTCACCAACAGCTTTAATGGAGTTTTCTGCATTGCTCTGTTCCTAACATCAGGGGAAGCCAAGTCATTGTATGAGTCTTGTGTTTCTAGAAGGCTGGGGTAGGGAGAAGACGAAAGGAAAGGTTTAAAGTTAGGGTTAAGTTCCAAGGAGAAACGAGGAGTCAGTGCATTCTCTCTCAAACACAGGTGGGGGGAAACTGTTAGGTGGGTAAGAAATTCCTCAATCTGTTACCTAGGTAGGAGGCAAGAGTGAAAAGGTAAGGCTAAGAACCAGTGAGAAGAACAAGTCAGCGGAGTCTTTGAAATCCTGAAATCACTCCCAGGCTGATTACCATGGGCGCTGATCCTATCTCTGTGAACCAGAATGAAATTCCCATTCCTCTACTCTATATTGTTTACTTCTACCTTCAATTTAGTTCAACATGGGAACAAGGAAAGAAGGAAATCAGCATTCATTAAGCACCTACTATGTGTCAGGCCCTGCGCAGGGTGCTTTATGAATATTATCTCATTTGATCCCCAACTTTGCGAGGTTGGTACTATTTTTTCCCCATTTTACAGTTAAGGAAATTCAGGTAAAGAGAAGTTAGATGACTTGTCCAGAATCTCAAAGCCAGTAAGTGCATGAGGTCATATTTGAACTGATTCCAGGCCCAGTCTTCTAGCTGCCTCAACACACATTATTAAGCACCAAGGGGATACAGAGACTACAAAGACAATATTTGCCAACAATTTTTATGTTCGGCTTTTTAGAAATGATTACACTCTGATCATTTGGAAAATAATAGTGTTTGATAGGCTAATGGCCTGACCCCCTAAAATTGCATGCCCAGCAGTATTATTATAAGAATCCATTTACTGTATAAGCTATGACATTGCTCTTCCTAATTCTATAGTGAAGCCGAAAAATATAAAATTCTAGATTTCCTGTTATTGGCTTTTTATTGATAGTGGTTGGTTTATTTTTAGGTGGACTTTGATGAAAAGCCTCTGCACTCTTTTTTGGACACCTTGTAGCCTGATACAAGACAAGTTCAATTTTCTATCTTATTCAGATAAAGTTATTTGAGAAATTACTGAACTAAGTCATAATATGCTCTTGGTAAACTATGGAATAATTTGCTAATTTGTGATTTAGATGCCTTAATAGCTATAAGGGGAGCAGATAATTTCACTCACCCAACCAAAATAACTTCTATGTATGTGGTTTGTTTTGTTTTATTGGTGGGGCTGAGAGTCAGACTCCCTTTTTGAAGTCTCTAAGACCTCCTAGAATAGAAGCATCTGGACTGATTGATTCCAGAGGTCTTACTGTTTTCTGTAATATTCTCTATGTTATATCATTTGCTTGTTTGCTTTTTCAAGCAGATTTATTGTGAGTTTGACAGGACATGTGGATACATTTCATTCTTCAGCTATCCAGTGCTTCAAATCCATTTTTTCTAGTTGGCTCTTTTCTCTGAAAATGGTGTCTGAAAATGATCTCTCAGTAAGACAGATTCCCCTTTTAATCAGTTTTCAATTCTAGTTGTATTTTGCATTTATCTGCAATATTCCTTTGAGAATATATATTTATATTTGAATGAGTTATAGTATTTATGAGTAGACAATTGTATCTAGTGATGGGGGCAGGGTAATGTACAATAAATGTGATACTTTTTCTTATTGCACAAATCATAAAGTCAGTCATGTTCAATAAATACAATTCTTCCCACTGCAGTTATGGTGTGAGATTTCAGTCCAAATCTCAAACATAACAGATTAACCAAAATTTTCATGCCTTTAAAAAATTCTCACCTAGATTTCACTTAAAGAGATAAACAAACACCTAAACTTTTACTTAGGCTCAAAATTGACTAATTAACTGCACCCAAAGGATCAGTAAATGAATTGAAACCAATGAAGAGGAAGATTTCCAATGCAGTATCTGAGACCTTTGTCCTTACCCCTATACTGCTTAATATTTTTAACAGAGATGAAGATGAAGGCATAGATGCCCTACTCAATCAAATTGGAAAACGTAAAGCTTGCAAGGATAGATAACATGTTGGATGCCAGAATTGAGATAAAGTGGTGTCTTGACAGACTGAAACAAGGGACTGAATCTAATAAAATAAAGTTTAATAAGGCCAAGTGTAAAAATCAATTCCAAGAACATGGAAAGATATATCTAGAAAAAGTGTGAAGAAGGTTTGGTGGCTTTCAAACAGCAGTGTGAGATAGCAGCCTTCTAAACCCCAATAAACTAGAAGAATTTTAGGCCACATTAGGATAGTATCCAGAAGGAGCAACAGTGATAGTTCTGCTATCCTCTTCGTTGGCTAGATCACATCTCTGAGTACCGTGCCTAGTTCTGGGTTCTACCTTTAGGAGGTACATTTAACAACCTAGAGCCTATTCAGAGGAGGATGCTCATGGACACTGAGGGAACCTGAAGTCCTATAGTAATTGGGGATATTTAACCTGAAGAAGAGAAGACTTAAGGCCAAGTGACCATCACCTTCAACATTTTTGAAAGAAGATGTTCAAAAGAGATTAAACTGGTTGGCTTAACTTCATGGGGCAAAACTAAGGCTAATGTGTAACAGTTAAACTACATTAATTTCCAAACTACACTATATTTCTAATATAATGAAAAATTCTTAATAATTAGAGGTGAAATGGATTGCCTCAGGGAGCCGTGAGTTCTCCATCACTGGAAGACCGTAAGTAGATGCTAGGTGTCCACTTATGGGGAAATCATAGGCATCTTGCTTTGGGTATAGGTTGGATTAGATTCCCTCTGAAGTACCTTTCCCAACTCTGGGATTTACCTTCTCTCAGAATCCCTAGCTTTATTCAAGGATAAGCTCAGGCACGCTTTTTGATGCCTTTCCTGGCCCTCACCACCCTCCACCCTCAGCTACTAGTCCCACCCCAAAATCACCTGAATCTATTTTGCAGCAGCCATGCCCTAGTAAAACCATCTCTGCAGATAAGCTAAACCAGGCTGAGGGTAACCAACGGGCCTCAAACCCTTCGCTGAGTTAGGAGGATACTATTTGCTCTCTTTGTTTTGTTTTATTTTGTTTCTTCTTTCTTGTAGTTCCTCCCATTGGTTCTAATTCTTCTTTACAACATGACTAATGTGAAAATATATTTAATACAAATGACCTACCCCAAGCATGTGAAGACCTTCCCGTGGCTGGAATGGGCAAATGAGAACATTTTATTCCAATAGCCATGAAGTCAGCTGAAGCAGGCACTGTTGAGCACTAGAGCTTGGTCAGACATGGAAGATGGCAAGGTCATCCACTGCATCCTGGTCAAAACTTTTTGTCTTGCCATTGGACTTTGATGATTCTGGAAGAGAGAATGTGACTGATGACTTTGTACAACTCTGCCTCATTTAAATCCAATTCATTTGCAAGTCAAGACATCACCCTGTGATGTCATTGGTCCTTTTCAAAAACAAAGGATGAACAACAACCACAATTTTGTATAGGTTTTAAATATACCTATATATGTACATGTTGTCTACTCCAACTAGATTGTAAACTCCTTAAGTACAGGGATTCTTTTTACTTGTGTTTTTGTATCCCAGAGTCTGGCATAATGCCTGACATAGAGCAGCTGCTTGGCAAATGCCTGTCAATTGATATAATAAATGGGATCCAATTTTTAAAATACCCTTTAGGATTGTATACTTAGAGATAGATAGTACCTTTGAAGTCATCCGGTCCAACACTCTCATTTTACAAATAAGGAGCACTGAGAGGTTAAGGAGGACTCTGATTCCATCACTCTTTCCATCATCCCTTGTTACTGGTCTAGGTTCATCATTTTTAATAATTCATTTTCACCTGCTGTGTGATAAAGCAATGAAGTTATTGTAAGCATCACTAGTCAGAACTGAGACCCCCTGAGGAAAAAGAACAATTGAACTTAAACACAGTCATGTTGGTTTGTCAGAAACTAACTAGCTTCTGAGTACTTAATGGCCTGAAACAATTTAGAGCCTAAAGAGAAGAGGTTAGTAGCCTGTAAGGTTGTGAGCTAGGAATGGTTTTTACATTTTTGAAATAAAACTTTGTTATATTTAAAAATGTAAGAAATATTCTTAGCTTAATGGCCTGGATTTGGCCATTGGCCCATAGTTTGCAGACCCATACTATAGAAGGAAAGGTAAGTGTACTTTTTTTCTAATAAATGTTTAGAATTCAGCTGCACCGAAGATGAGGGGGAAAGCACTTCAGAGACGTTGAAAGAAACAACCTGAGCCACTAATAAGTTATGACTCCATAGGAGACACTTAATTAACCAGAGGACCACTAGCTGTGGGTGAGAAAGCATCTGCTTTCCACACATGTTGTAATAATAATAGCTGGCAGGTAGATACTTAACTCATATGATCTTCACAACAACCCTGTGAAGTAGGAACTGCAGGTATTATTATCCTCATTTTACAGATAGGGAAACTGAGTCTCAGAGATATTAAGTGACTTGTCCACAACTAAAAACATTTGGAGACAGAATTTATTTATTTTTTTGTTAAATTTATTTATTTTTAGTTTTCAACATTCACTTCCATAAGATTTTGAGTTTTAAATTTTTCCCCCTCCCTTACCTCCTCTCTACCCAAGACGGTGGGCAATCTGATATAGGCTTTACATATACATTAATATTAAACATATTTTCACATTAGTCAAGTTGTAAAGAAGAATTAGAACCAATGGAAGGAACCACAAGAAAGAAGAAACAAAATAAAACAAAACAAAGAGAGCAAATAGTATGCTTCCATCTGCATTCAGACTCCACAGTTCTTTCTCTGGATATAGACAGCATGTTCCATCGTGAATCTTTTGGAGTTGTCTTAGATCCTTGCATTGCTGAGAAGAGCTAAGTCTATCAAAGTTAGTCATCACAAAATGTGGCTGTTCCTGTGTACAATGTCTTCCTGGTTCTGCTCACTTCACTCAGCATCAGTTCATACAAGTCTTTCCAGGTTTTTCTGAAGTCTGCCTGCTCATCATTTCTTATAGCACAATAGTATTCCATTACATTCATATACCATTCAACCATTCCCCAATTGATGGGCATCCCCTCAATTTCCAATTCTTAGCCAACACAAAAAGAGCTGGCATAAATATTTTTTGTACATGTGGGTCCTTTTCCCATTTTTATGATCTCTTTGGGATATAGACCTAGAAGTGATATTGCTGGGTCAAAAGGTATGCACATTTTTATAGCCCTTTGGGCATAGTTCCAAATTGCTCTCCAGAATGGTTGGATCAGTTCACAACTCCACCAACAATGCAATAGTGTTCCAATTTTCCCACATCTTCTCCAATATTTATCATGTTCCTGTTTTGTCATGTTAACCAATTTGATAGGTGTGATGTGGTACCTCAAAGTTATTTTGATTTGCATTTCTCTAATCAATAGTGATTTAGAGCATTTTTTCATATGACTATAGATAACTTTAATTTCTTCATCTGAAAATTGCCTGTTCATATCCTTCGATCA